AAACTTTACTGATGATACTTTATTGAGGGAAATTTATAAGACGTTCAGATATGTTTCTCTATAGAAAAGCTGCAATTGATTGATAAAAGATTTTGATAATTCTTTTTCACACAAACTAATATTTCATATTAATGCACAATCGAGCTAATTGGAATAACAATTTTCCATATGCATTACACAGATTTCCCAGATTAACTATAATTAAGGGAAAACAGTTAAATGTGTGTGTGTGTGTGTCTTTGTATATACTTGTAGACAGAAGTTGCGCCCATGTTCCCATAACCTAATCAAACAGTACGCGGCTTTAACTACATGTATGTCTAAATATATCAGGTAGCTATAGTGGCTTGATGTTTACGCCAGGTACTCAAAGGTCTGATAAGCCAAATGGTGCAGAAATAGTTGGAAAAGCATTAAGTGCTAGGGGAACAGGTTTGCCCAACGACGCAAGCCCGCGAGCGCCTAGAAGATACCCTGTGCTCGAAGAAGAAAGAAGAAGTTAAGTCTTAACCTCAGATAGGTATAGAGCGAGATAGACCCACACACAGATACTTAACCCTAGTTAACTCAGCGCGACTAACTAATGAGATTAAAGATTGTAAAGCTTTACGCTATTATCTACATGCGTGCGGAATCAATAGACCCTCTTGCTGTATTCACAGGGTATCAAATGGGCTCGTCAGATACTCGCTTGGGTCAAATGGCTATTCGATTATTTTGATAGGTTACAGATTGGCTATTGTCAGCGCCCGCATGCAAATCGTCAAGATGTTGATAGACCTCTAGCCTGCTCAGCTGCTGCACCACCTCCCCTGTTGCCGCCCCCAACTGAGCAGCAGCTGCATTTGTGGAGCGTGCGCTGTGCAGCGTTTTTGGTATGCCAAGGTCAAAATACGATGCGATCCAATGCGACGCCTTGTTGATGTTGTTGCTGCTGCTGCTGGTGTCGCTGTTGCTGCTGATGTGCTTTGGATGCATTCACATTGAAATTTCATTTTAACAATTTTTTGTTGTTGTGTTGTTTTAAGGGGAGGGGTTAACTGCTGCCTCAGCGCTGAAATGCGACATTTCTCAGATCTAACCTACTTAGCATGCTGTTAAAAACGAAAAATAATTCATTTCAACTTAAATATAAATATACAAATTAAATACCTACTACTTAATGCTGAACTAAGCGAAGTCCAAGGTGTTGGCTGTACAAAGGGGAGCGGTTAATGGGTCGATGGGTCGACTTGGCCATTAAACTGTGACCATAATGTATATCTTGCTTAGCTACTCAACAAATACTTTCAGCGCTTGATCTTAAGATGTCATAAAAATATTGCAAGCATGACGACTTTTTTAAGATTCTGTGATCTTATGATTGGCTGTGCAGTACTTATTATATAACCTGCAATGTACCCTACGTATAGAAGTATAACATGTACCATACGCACCATGTATCATGTATCATATATAAATATATCATGCAAAAGTACCATATAATTGTACCGTACCATGCAACTCAAAGCTTTAAACTATACATGTATCTTACAAATACACAATACAAAACATGTACCTTCCATCATGTACCATAACATATAAATGTGCCAAAACATGTACCTTCCAAATGCTCCTAAACATGTACTTTCTAAATGTACCAAAACGTACATTCTAAATGTACCAAAACATGTACCTTCCAAATGTTCCTAAGCATGTACCTTCTAAATGTACCAAAACACGTACCTTCTAAATGTACCAAAACATGTACCTTCTAAATGTACCAAAACATGTACCTTCTAAAGGTACCAAAACATGCACCTTCCAAATGTAGCAAAACACGTACCTTCTTAATGTACCAATTTATATATACAATATAAATGCGCACATACTTGTACCATATAAATGCATTAATTGTACCAAATGTACCTTCTGAAATGTCCCTTTTGAATTGTAGCAATTCAAATTCCCCACAAATGCACCATCTCAAGTGTACCTATTCAAATGTATCAAATAAATATACAAATTCAAATGTACCAAAAAGTTTAAAGTCAAATATAATAATCGATGGATCTATCGAATATTTAATAATCAAGTATACGACCCGTTTACAGGGTAACTAACAGTCGCTAACTTGCACATATTTAGTTGTTTGACAACTTTTGGTCTAGTTGACTAAACACGATTAATAAACGCATGTCAAGCGCACAAAGCGTTGGACTTATTACACTTATTGGCCACTCTAGACTCCACCTCGACCAGGCGACACGTTCGTGCAGACACGTTCAAGTGCGAAATCCACGCTCGAACTCGGGCATTGGACATTGGGCAACTGTTGGATCCAGCAACGACCAGCGCGACCATCGCGACCACTGCCTCCATTGGGCATCCCCCAAGCCGTTTATAGACAGCTGACAGCTGACAGCTGTCACACGTGTTGTCCATCGTCGTGGACAGTGCCAAATCGGTAGACGACCTTGATCCCATTTTTGTTGAGCCAAAGTTTGCAAAGTGCGCACTTTCTGTGGGGCTAAAGCATTTCCCAAAGTACGATTTTTATAAAATATTCAATGAACGTACTTTGAAAGCTGTTAAATTCGGGATTGAGTCGAATTTCGGAAAGATTATAAGAAATGTTGACCAACGGAGTAGGCATCTCAGCGACTTAGGGATATAGAGTAAGCATGTCTTTCGACAGTTGATCAAAAATGTATCTTAGTATCAATTTCAATTCATTTAAATTTAATCTGATTTTTTATTTAGCTTGTAATCTTTTGGCAGATCAAAGTTCATTAAATATTTAAATATTCCACAATAAAAACCTCAAAACAATTTAGTTCCAATCCACTTAAAATACTTCCTAAAGGGACTGCTATCAATTCTTGGCTACGACTATACAAGTATAGCCTAAAAGTATGCTAAGCTTTTGACTGGATTTACTCATATACAAAATAAACTCATCTTTATGGGTCAAACGAAAATCCAAACGTATATTAATTCTTATCGCTGCACTAGTTCTTATCAATGTAAACTTAGCTCATTATAAATTGTATTAAATTGCCATCATTAGTAGTGAACTCAAATAGATTTGTGTGAGACAATGGAGATACCCTGTAAAAGTACTAAGTTATAGAGAGAACTTATTGACTATCTGACTGATTTGATTGATTGATTGATTGATTGACAGAGTGTCTGATTGACTGACTTGATTAATTGACTTTACTGATTGATTGAGTGACTGATTGACTGACTGATTGATTGATTGACAGAGTTGATTGCTTGGTTACCTAAATCATTAACTGACTGACTCATTGACTTTATGATGGATGTACTGACTGATTGATTGATTGACTAACTGATTGATTGACAGAATGTCTGATTGCCTGATTTGATAATTGACTGAATCATTTATCAGTTTAAGTCAGTTGTTGCTTGAAAAGCTGACTGCCAAGGCTGACGAGCTAGCTGAACATAGCTCATGAGGCACTATCAAAGTGTTTGCTGCGACGCAATAAAGTAGAAAACAAGAAGATCTTTGGAATGGTTATTGTCAAATATGAGAGCATTGCGGTTCAACAACACCAAATTAAACAAAATAGAAGAGGGCTTGCTCTTAGCAGATAAGAAACCAGGTTTGAGCAACGCCCATTTAAGCTAGTTTGACAGCTGTGATTAAACAGAAGCTGTGCATCTGTTTCTCACTTACTCTCTTGCTCGTTCTCTTCGAACACTTTAATTCTAGCTATTCTCGGAGCCTAGAGCCGAGCAACTATTCACATTGACCCAGACGTGTGTGTAATTTTCATGTAGGTCAGTCGCGACGCATTTATTTTTGTATTCTGCTTTCAGATAACTTTTCATTATGGTCATCATGTGCATAGCTATACAGTTGCTACGATACTCTATACCTACGAGGGATCGGCATTCACTACACTCACTCAGTCCAAATATAGAACCCTGCCCTATTATGATCTATTTTTGTAGACTCTATCACTCTTTTGTATCTCACAGATACATTTTATCTTTTATCTATATTTTATCTGGTTACACCTTATTTTATGTTCTACCTACGACAGATCATATTGTATTTTACAGATATATTTGTATATCAAAGATACCTTTGTATCTCACAGATACATTTGTATCTTTTATCTCAACCTTATACTTATTACAGCATATTTTATGTTCTACATAAAACAAAACATATTCAACCTTCCAGATACATTTACATATTCTTTTGATACCCTGATCCTATTGAAAATGGGAAATCAGGGTATAATGGTTTTGTGCAAATGTATGTAACAGGCAGACGGAGGCGTGGCAGACCCCATAAAGTATATATATTCTTGATTAGGACGACAAGACGAGTCGATTGAGCCCTGTCCGTCTGTCTGTCCATCTGTTTTTATGTGTGATCTCAGCTTCTATAAGAGCTAGAGACTATCAAGTTTGTTTCAAATATTCGATACCTATTCGCATTTAATTGTTATCGAATAAAAACATGATTGAAATGCAGTTAATAAATTATATCTCGGACGTCTTAAAAGCTAGAGTTTTATGCAATTTTGGTTTTTGTTGGATTTTGGATACCAGCCCCAAATTCTTAAAATTTAAGTTTAGTTGCATATAGAGCCATTATGTGAGAGCGTTTGCATATCAGCCAGGCCAATAGGATTTGTAGATCATATGCTGACAATTTCATTAAAATCCATTTAGTAGAACAGAAGTTATTAAACATAACGTTTGGCCAATTTGCAAAAGCACATTGTGGGTTCGAATCCTGGTGTCGTACTGTCGATTTTTATTTGTTTTTTTTGTTTTTGGAATACTCGATACAAGCTACGGAAAATATTAAAAAACGCAGATAGGACTGGTATCAGGGTATCTCCTAGTCGGGCACCCCGACTAGAGCTTTCTTACTTGTTCTGCGAGTAAATTATAGTCGTAAGCTAGCTTTCATGCTCACGATCGCTACCATTGATAGTGCGCAGTTGGCGATTCTTTCGAGCTGCCGCTCATGTCTAAAGTGATTTTAGTTTAGCGAGTTAGCGAGAAGTGAACGGTTGCCTATTGCGCGTTGCTGAACAAGCGAAAGACAAAACTTTTTTTCTTGTTTAATTTTGTTGCTTCCAGTATGAATACCTGGACGTTGCTTGCATTTGCTTTGTGGGCGCTTTTCATGCGCTATTTGCCGCAGATATTTAAGTTCGTGGAGCTACAACGCTTCTCGCGCACACTGCCTGGGCCCACGGTGGGCGAGCTGATAGCCAATGTTAAGAAAGGCCGTAAGATAGATAGCCATTGACGATTCGTTTAGCAGATAGAATCAGATTCATCTTTCGCACTCACGCAGAGATCCTCAACTGGCTGAAGGAGCTGCGCTTGCAACATGGCCCCGTTTTTCGCATCTGGTTCGGCAAAGATCTGATGGTGTTCTTCACAACGCCCGACGACATCAAACAGCTGCTGGGCAACAATACGCTGCTGAGCAAGTCGCGCAACTACCAGCTAGTGGAGCCCTGGCTGGGCAAGGGTCTGCTTACGAACAGCGGCGAGTCGTGGCATCGCAGACGCAAGCTGCTCACGCCTGCCTTCCATTTTCGCATACTCAGCGAGTTCAAGGAGCCCATGGAGGAGAACTGTCGCATTCTGGTCAGCCGCTTGCGTGACCATGCCGATGGCAAGCCCTTCGACATTTATCCATACATCACGCTCTTCGCCCTGGATGCCATCTGCGAGACGGCGATGGGCATCAAGAAGAACGCCCAAATGCAAAGCGATTCGGACTATGTGCGAGCCGTGCAGACGTAAGTGCGAGTCAACGAGCATACACACTGAGAGAAAAAACGCAGTTAGCTTCAATATATTCGATAATAAGTACTTTGCCTCTTTAGGATACAGTTTTTCAGTTGAATTTGTTGAAGTGAAAAGAGCATATTTTAGTTTGCCCTTCTTGCTATTCTTTCATCTTTCATCCTGGTCTCCGTCCGTCTGCATTTGGTAATGTGGAAATCTGCGTCTAGAAACAACAAAAAAGCCACTGTTAAGCTCTCCTCTATAGGCTCTCTTGTGGGCGTGTCAAGTCGCAAAAAAACTCTTTTACAGCTTGAGCTATCAAGTTTTGCTGCTGCATCACACATAGATCTAGGGCTATATGGCACAGTCGGTCCATTGGAGCGTGAGAGCAAAGTTGTTTAAATGAATTGAATATGAATATTATGCAACCCGAGTACAAAGTATATAATTGCTGATAGACTAATTGGCATTCCGGCCAGACTGAGCTCTATATGCTTGTGCATATTTGTTTGATAACAATGAATATGATTATTATGCATATATAGACACATATGAATGCATTACTTAGTAACAAATCTATACAAAATTTCACCTGATTATTAAATAATTTTATGGACATAGCTGAGTCGCTCTAGCCCATCCATAAGCCAGAGACTTGAAGCACTGAACACATATTTCCGTATACCCTATATGCCATACTCAGTATGCAGTTGATCAGTTTTTTTGCGTTAGCTCAAATTGTACAGGGTATCTCAACTACCTACCCAACTGCAAAAGCAAAAGTCTTCACATCATCTGACCTTTAGCATTTGACTCAGCTAATCGAATTTCATGCGCTTCTTTAGCATTTGCCGGATTCTGCATCATCAGAGCTTCTCCTTCTGGCAGCGTTTCAACTTTCTCTTCAATCTGTCCGCCGCGGGCCAAAAGCGTAATGCGGCATTGCGCGTGCTACATGGCGAGACGAATCGCGTGATCCAAATACGACGCAAGCAGCTGCAGCAGGCCAAAGCGGAGCAGGAGACGGCGCAGCAGCAGGAGGACAACGATGTGGGCAGCAAGCGGCGCCTGGCATTTCTGGACATGCTGCTGCTGGCGCAGCTGGAGGGCAACGGCTCGGAGCTGAGCGATGTGGACATACGCGAGGAGGTGGATACGTTCATGTTCGAGGGCCACGACACGACCAGCTCGGCAATTGCCTTTGCCATCAGTTTGCTGTCGAAGCACGCGGATGTGCAGCAGCGTGTCTACGAGGAGGCTGTGGAGCTGGAGGGACGGGAAAAGGAATCGATGCCATATTTGGAGGCTGTTATCAAGGAGACGCTGCGTCTGTATCCATCGGTGCCGTTTTTCTCACGGGAAGTGCTCGAGGATCTGCAGGTGGGCCAGGTGACGGTGCCCAAGGGAGCGTCAGTCAGTTGCCTCATCTATATGCTGCATCGCGATCCGGACAGCTTTCCCGATCCGGAACGCTTTGATCCGGATCGATTCTATCTCAACGAAAATCAACTACATCCTTTCGCCTTTGCCGGCTTCAGTGCGGGACCACGCAACTGCATAGGTCAGTGACGAGCCCCTTTACAGTATCACGCCTCTCTATATTCGTCTTTCATTATCTTCGCAGGTCAAAAGTTTGCCATGCTGGAGCTGAAGTGCTCGCTCTCCATGCTGCTGAGACACTATCAATTCCTGCCCGTCGCCGATCATCAGCCACTGCCACTCGCCGAGCTGGTCATGAAGAGCGGCAATGGCATTCAGGTCCGCATGCAGCCACGCCCATAATCCAGCTAGTCCCCTCATATGAATCTACAACTAACTTCATTTGTCTTCTTCTAGTATTTTAATTTGTAAATAATCAACTTTTTAGTTTGTTTAATAAAAACAACTCAATAATCTATCTTTACTCCCTGCTCATCTCTAATAGAGCTGCTCTAATAGAATATATTCATATATTCTAAGTATATCTGAAGTGAAATTATATGGGGCATTATAAAGTGTAGATATAAGGGTGTAGATAACAAATAACCTTATACATATACAAATTTGTGGAAGTCTAGCTCAGAGAGAAGCTGAGTTCAATGGGTTAGATGATAATATATGGGGTATTATAAAGATCACGTATAGATATATATATACTGGCAACTTAAGTCAATAATACTGTACAAAGCTTCGTTGCTCTAGCTCTCACAGAAGCTGAGTTCAATGGGTTAGATTGTGCTACATAGTGTATTATAAGAAGCTTATGTATATATTTATATATATTGGCAACTTAGGTCTATGCAGTTCCATAGTTATAGCTTAACTAAAATCTGAGTTCTATGGAAATGTGTGAAGTGGAATATTATAAGAAACTTCCATATATATGCTGCTAAGGTCCACACAACTTTATTATAGTTTCATAGTTAACAGCTCAGAGTCAAGGCCTACAGATCTCTAATAACACCCGAGTTTCATGACTTGCGCTGTTCGCTAATCCATCTATTTGCTTTTACATTTACCTACATGTACGTTTAATGCCGCTTATCAAATTTCGATTTGATAAGAAGCTCAGCTAAACAAAAGCATATAATGTAGGCTATGACGAAAGCCAGCGAAAACTTCCTCACTAAAGGCTAAGATTATGATTTTGATTTTATTTTGTAAACAAAGTGTACAGTAATAATACGAGTCTATTTGAATGTATTTTGCAAACTCATTCTATAATTCTTAGACTTTGAGTCCGGGAAGGCCAACGAAAGCGGCTTGACGACTTATCAACGGCATTCAAATATGTAAATAAACCTGAAATGATAATATTCACTCGCACGAAAATGTTTGTTGTTCCAAAACCACAACAAAAAATCAACATAAAATTGAAATTGATTTTTTTTATTTTTGATATTTTATTTATTTGAACTATGGAAAATACAATTTTTTATATATGTTTTATTTGATGTGAGATAAGACATAATCGTTTAAGTTATACACAAATATGTTTTGGATAATATTGTGATTCCGTTAACATCTAAAGCCAACAACAAAAAAAATATATATAAATATTTTTATCTGAATATATATGTGTATTTACATAAATAGTTAGCTAGTCATGGATAAGTTATTGTTATACATGTATATATAGATAGTTATATATATATATATATAGATGTACTTATGCTGAACTCTGTTAAATCTCTGTTACATACATACACACATATTTATTGCTGTCCAACTCTGTAAAAGCTCTGTTAACTTAGCTGGCTTTGATGTTACCATATATGTTCCCTGACAATTCCTTAAGCTATACTCTAATATATATATAATAGGCATATCTATGCATATATATATATTCCTTTGCGAGTGCTCTTCAGCCAGCTGCTGCTGCTCATTTCATTTCCTTTCGGATTAGTTATATGTTATATATATATATATAAAGTGTATCTATTATTATATTTTCGTTTTTTGTTTCTTGTTTTCTTTTGGTATGTTACATTTCCCTATCTAGATTGCCTTCAATTACCTTTTGTGTTGTTCTATTTTGTGCCCATATTCGATTTATATATATCCAACTATATACATCGCCCAACACATACTCAAAATGCCCAATCAGCTGAATGTGTTTGCGAGTTGTATATGATATGATAAGCCTAGGCTAGCATTGATTAACATAAAATATCGCAGATATACATATATATATATATATATATCTATAGACGTATAGAGTCTATATCGTATGTAGTATAGAGCATGAACAAGGGTTTCTGTCTTCCACTTAATCTAACTAACGAAATACCCTTGCAGCAGGTTAGTTGAATAGTTTTTAACACGTATTTATATAGTTAACAATGGTATTCTCGATAAATCGTACTTTGTTTATGCATATGTATTTATATAGTTGGTATATTTCATATATAACGCGCGTCTAACGGATCGACAGCTGTCGTAGGAACAAGCGAGGGCTTAGACATCGAACCGAATCGTATCGAATCGTTTATATATATTTTGTAAAGCCAAGCATCAGGAATTTCAGGAAGTACAGTTGCTACACTTTAGAATTAACTCTGCGGGCGGGGGGTAACGAGAGCTCAAACTAGAGCAGTAGAGCTCGCTTAAAATATATGGAATTCAGTTGAATTTCGAATACATAGAAGAACTTATATCGTGTAGATATATCTTTCGAACACAGTCGAGAAGATAGGAAAACTTTCTAGAATACTTCTTAAGAAGATTCATAAAGTATATCTAAAATATTGAACTAATCTTGAATAGATATAGGAAGCATTAGAAATACCCATATCAATATACTTTTAACTTGTGATAGATACCTAAAATAGATGGAAAATATTTAACTTATTTCCCTTAGATTTAGGAATTAGAATTAGAATTAGATTATCTGGAATATCCAACTAATACTCGATAGATATATAAACTATAGACTCCATAAACACTTTATATGATATCTGAAATCCAGCTTTCAAGTATGTCAGAAATATATATGGCTGTATATGAAACATCTTAGTAATATCTTAAATATTCAGACATAATCTTAAATATAAATCGAAATCCATCGATCTGAATTCTAGAAGCAAAAATCTCGTATATATGAGGAATATCTAGTATATTTAGCGATATCAACAGCACTGCAACATATCCTTAACTATATATATCTATATATATAGCTATACAGCTAAAATCAACTTCAACAGGATCCAAGCTATTGGTATATATGCTAGCTATAGATGTATATATATGTTTACATATCGGACGATTGTTAGCCTTATAGGAACATTATGTGTGGAGGAAATTCTAGACTAATTGAACGAAACTCTGCAAGGATATGGAAGCTTCGACGAGCCGAAGTTAGTTGTGCATGCCCGATTCGTTCGCCAGCTTAGAGCCAGGGTATGCAAATGGTGCGACAAACGTCGCGTCTGTGCGGCGCCAGGTGCGGCTCCTCGCCAGTGGGGCCGCCTCCACCGCCCGCACCACTGAACTTAAAGAACGAACTCCTTCGTCAGTGTTTGCGATGAGCCTGAGGCGAATGCGAGCTCGAGCTCGAGGTCGGGCTGGTCTCGGGCAACGGTTGCTGGTGCAGCGGCAACTGCTGCTGATGGTGGTGCAGCGACTGTTGCTGCTGCTGGTGTGGTGCAGCGGTCAGTGTTGAGGCGCGCGCCAAGCGCTTGGGTATAACAAATGGCGGCGGCGGCTGTGGCGTGTATTGCGGCATCGTCGAATTCGCCGATGCCTGACGCACAAAGCTGCGACTCGGCGACGACTGCATTGAGCCGCTGCGCGCTATGGCGCCCGTGCGTGGCGGTATGGCTGGTGGTGGCCCAGGCGGCGGACCGCGCAGCTTGGCTGGCGGCGAGCTGCTCTCTGTGGAGGCCTGCGAGGGCACACGCGGCGGCAGCTGCGGCAACTGCGGACTCTGCGTGACCAAAGCCGGTGGCAACTTCGCTTGCGGCTGCACTGTGGACATGGTGATGCTCGGCTTCTGCATGGGCACGGTATGGCGTATGGTGATGTGGCCCGGCTGCTGTCTGCCTCCAGTTGCAGCGCTGCTAGCTGTTGTTGTTGTCGCAGCAGCTGTTGTCGCAGTAATTGTTGTCGCAGCTGTTACTGTGGCTGTTGCTGTAGCTGCTGTCGTGACTGAGGCTGCTGCGCTGCTCTTCTGCTGCTGCTGCTGTTGCTGTTGATGCTTCTGTTTCTGCTGTGCGTGTATGTCCTGGATTTGTGGTGTGATAACCACCGGATTCTTCTTCTGATCCTGGCCAGCGGCCACATAGCTGAAGACGCACAGCACCGAGTAGCATATCTGATCCGACTGCATGACACACGTTACGTTAGTTGTTGTTAACTGTGTTTGTTTTGGCTGGTATTGTTTTAGCGAGTGGTTGAGTGGTTGGGTGGTTGGGTGGTTGGGTGGTTCAGTGGTGTACTTATTGAGGTGTTTAATCACAACGTGTAACAAAAACCAACGAACGCACAAACGAACCCATAAAAATCATACGTATACAAATATATATATATCAATATATATATACAAGTATAGAAAAAGCATGCACTGGAACAATGGAATGGAACACAACAAAAATTGTGAGCGTGAGAGAACTGACAACAATTTGTGTACAACTTGTGCATGTTGTGCTTTTGTTGTTGTCCATGTGGTTGTTGTGGTTGTTACACACTCACACATACGAATGCAAGGCAATTTAGACGGATCGTACCGACTAACACATACACTGTTCACATTTCAGAAGATCAATAGACATTGATTTTTATTATTATTACGTAAGCTATCCAAGTCTAAAAATATGACAGTGTCTGTCAAACTGTAAGCTTGAGCAACTAATTCTAATTCTAGTCTATGATGCTTCTTATGAAAGCTGACTCTCGCAAGCACTTAAGCATACCCTGTTCACAACTATAACTGCGATTGTAAGCAGTGAGCTCTAAAGCTGCTAGAGCTGTCCAACGGTCACATTAAAATAAACAAAACATGTCAAACTGTAACAACAAATGACGCTCAAACTGGTGAGCAAGAATTTACAGCTTAAGATAAACAGAATCATTTATTTGTTATTTGATTATGGACTCTCAAAATGTTGGCTTTAAGTGTTGCCTGTCAATCAAACAAAAAAGAATGTAAACTCTTTAACCAATGTGAACAGCGTAAGAGTAAAAAAAAAATGTATTAACAATTGATATATAAATTTTATTTACAAAAAGTATTTTAATTTTTCTTTTTGACTATTTATGTTTTATGTGTTTTTTTTTAGTTGGAATTTTCGATTGGAACATGCGAAATTGATGCTGTCGCTGTTGCTGTTGCTGTTGCCGTCGCATGTTGGCCATGTTCCGTTGCCACTGTTGCTGTTTCACTGTCCCCACCGTTCCCAGGGGCCGCTAGCATCCGCTGCTCCTGCTTGCCGTTCAGATGACAAATGTATGCAAAGCGCACGGACGTCACACGATGAAAGCTCAGCACAATTTCAGAGGCCTTTATTTGATTTAATCGATATATATCATTTGGAATTATTCATTTTAGATTTATTATGTTCATTTTGTAATTTTATAATATTTTTATATTTACATAATTTTTATTGATAAAAATTGAATTTTTGATTTTAAGTTTTTATTTACATTTTTGAATTTGTAATTGACAATTTCGCATTTTGAAGTTTCATTTGTATTTTTTTTTTTAATTTTTATATTATATTAATTTATTATTTTATATTGTTATTTTAAAATTTTTATTCATTTTGAATATTTATTATTTTGTAATTTTTATTGTTTAAATGAAATTTATTTTTATTGATTAATTATTTTAAATTTAAAATTTTTAACATGTTTGAAAGATGTTTTTATATATAATTTGTGAGTTTAATTTAAAATATTTAATGTCATTTTTGTATTTTATTTTTTAATATATAAAAGTTTTATTTTGTTATATTTTTTTTTTAATTTTTTAATTTTTTAATTTTTTTTTTAGAGTATTTTGTATTTGTTTCATATTCACGTTTCATTCGAGGGGTTGTACAGTTGTTGCAGCGTGTGTTTATGTTGATGCAGTGAGTGATTGGTGGATTGATTGATTGATGGTGTGTGATGTGATTGTGTTAGTTGCAGGCATGTTGTTTGTTGTTGTAGTAGTTGTTGTTGTTATTGTTGTTGTAGTTGTTGTTGGTCGTATACATAGAAATGTTGACAAGGTAACGAAACGAAAGTGGCAGCAAAGAACGAAACGAAACGAAATAGAAAAAAGGTAAGGCAAATCAAACTCAGTCATATATATATATATTTTTTTTTTTTGTGTTATATATATACATATACAGGAGGAAATGAAACAGTGTATGTATGCCTAACATATATACAGACACACAATGCGACGTGATGTGGTTTCAAGTGCAAGCAAAGTGCTTTATCAAATCGATTTTGTACAAAAATTTTTCAAAAGTTCAAAAATCTTATATATAAATATATATATATATATATATATATATATATATACTATATATATATGTAGGAATTTGTTATTAAAATAATGGTGCTGTTTAAATGCATGTGGTGCAGAGCGAAAATCGAGAGATATTTATACATATATATAATATATATATATATATATATATATATATAAACTTACCATGCTTGACTGATATTTACGCTGTATAAGATTGCGCGTCTTGGGATCTGTGGAACAAGTGGAATTAGCGAAACAGTCAATTATAGCAATTATCCATTGTCCCTGTATCCATCGTTGGCTACTTACTGTACTCCTCCAATACGAAAATGCCGCCCTTCTGTGTAAAACACTTGCGTATATGATCCAAACGCACAAAGAACTGAAATTAAGTTGGTTTTTGGGAAGAAAAGCAGAAGTATGTGAAAATATATTTTCGAATAGACGCGTACCGAACAGAAAGTGGAACGAAACGTAACGGAACGTAACGAAACGAAACGAAATGCAAAAAAGACAAAATGAAAAACAGGGGGAAAAAACAACGGCAGTGAAACAAAGAGAGTTTCTTTTTCATTTCATATCTTGTCACACAGTCAGAGTTGTGGAAAGTATTTCATAATCAAGTATCGGATAGGATAAATAACAGATGCATATATATATATATATATATATATAAGAAATATATATGTATATATATATACATATACATATACATATACATATACATACATACATATATATATAAATACATAGAGTGAGGGAGAGAGAGACATAAATATGTTAAAGGAAAGTAAAACAGATATTTGGAGTTTGTTCTTATACTCGGTTTCATTTCATCGTGTTGTCTCGTGTACGTGTGTAGACATGTGTGTGTGGGCTGTTCAAGTGTGTGGGTGGTACTAACATTCAATGCAACGAAACGGAACTGAAAAACAAGCTAAATGCTACGCAGGCGCATGAACACAGGCAGCAGCACAGGCAGAGCCAGGCAACAAGCGGACAAGCAGCATGCAAACAAGCAAAAGCAAAAGCAAAAGCAAACGCAAAAGCAGAAGCAGAAGCAACAGCAAATGCCGTAGCAACCAGCTAGTTAACAGTTAGTAACAATATACATTCAATTTTACACTGGGAGAACAACAAGTGGTCCGTACTGTATTTTCAGAGGGCAGAGTGAAAACGCAAAATGAATGGAAAACAAATTGAAGATAAAAAAGAAAGAATACTAAGAAGAACTATTATAAATTAATAAGAAACAAACGGAAATGAAACACTTTAACATTGGGTCAATGACAACGAAACGATTGGAATTGAATATCGAAATGCGAATGCAGCAAAAACAAGTGAAATGTTATTCATTTATATATATATATATATATATATATATATATATATATATATATATATATATATATATATATATAAAATATTTGTTGTTATTGCATTGTTTTGTAACGGGTCGATAAATTGATCGATTAATATCGATTTACGAAGTTTATTGTTCTAGCACTTGTGAGATGGTCGTTCATAAATTAGCTTTGGAATTGAATACAAATATATATATACCATGTATATATATATATATATAAATATATATATATATATATATATATTTATATGTATATATATTTATATGTATATATATTTATGTTTCTATATATCTAATGGGCTGGGGAGTAGTCGAACTATTCAATTCAAATTAATTTTGAATTACATTTTTTTATTTTTTGTTTGTTTTTTTTTTACTAATAAAAGGAACTAGGCAGTATGTTTGTGTGTGTGTGTGTAGTGTGCGTGTGTGTGAGTTGAAAAATAATATAGGGTATTGAAATGCAAGTGAATCAGATAGAAATTAAAAGAGCTCACGTGTGGATAGGAGTCGAGGTAGGCGTTTCATAGGATGTGAGACATTTGCGACTGGACATATTTCGACGCCCAGTCCCATATAGATGGAAAGATATGTATATATAAAAAATAACAATTGAGTGTGGTCTTTACTATTATCTTAAATTGTATTTGTAATTCACAATAACAGCATGCTTCGGCTAATGTCGAACGGAACGGGCGATTCAGTATGAGAGAGCGCTGGAATCATTTGGTTTTTAAATATATTTCGACAATTTTCATGGCTAGAAATGAAAACAAAAAACAACAAATGAAACGTTTGCAAAGCAAGTGAAATATTGAAGTATCAGAAACGCAGGAATGAAACGTAAAAGAAAGACAGGAGAGAGAAAGAGAGAGAGAGAGACAGAAAGAGAGAGAGAGGAACAGATAATAAGATACAGTTAGAGGCAAGAGCGAAAGTGTCACTGAGCTAGCTAGCTAGAGAGCAATATACAGAAAGAGAAGGGGAGTGAAAGAGAGAGAGAGAGAGAGAGAGAGAGAGGGAGAGAAACGTTGCAGTAAAGCTAGCTAGAGCTTAAAATATATTAAAAATTGAAGAGCAAACGAATTTTAAGGATTCAAAACTTTATTTCCAAAATATTTCATCTTTTTTAGTAATAATCAGATTTTAGGATTTTAGTTTTTAGAAGTTTTCATAAATGGTTTTTTTTTGGTATTTTGGGTATTTTTGTTGGTACTTTTTGGTATTTTTTATTTATCAGCTACAACTAAAATTTGCGTTTAAGACTTTTGCGTAACAACTAAAACTACACAAGCAAAAATTATAAACATTAACAAGAATTTTGTTGTTGTTAGGGAGAGTTAGGGGTTACGCTACAATTTAGTGGTATTGTTCCAAGTTTCAAAGAGCAACCAGCAAGCGCACTTCCAACGAACGTAAAACAAATATAATCAAAGTTTTGAGTGTCTTTTTATTAGGTTTTTTTTTTTTGTTTTTTTTTTTTATACATGACTCGAAACACGAACTAGCTAAGAATAATGTTATATATAGTTATTGGAAAATATTGGAACTACATGCCGTCAAAACTAGTATCTATTGGTGCAACTCTTCGGCAAGCCGAACAAATTGTTTGGTTAACTGAGCTAACGAAATTGCAATTTTGATCGATTTAGCTGCTCATTGAGCAGTTCCCAACTAATTTGGGATAGTTTTTCTTATATAAATTTTAGCTACCAGCTACAGCTACAAACTATATAGATATATATATATATATATATATATATATATACATATATCTATATATATATATATATATATTCATATAATATGTATATATATAAGTATATATATAACTATATAGAAAATTTGTGAATAAATCTGTTTAGTAGGGCAGATAGCTTGGTGTGTATGTGGGTGTTTGTTTATGAGTGTGTGTGTGTGAGTGTGTGTCAACATTCAAATAACTAGTGCCAACCAGAAGTCAAATAAAAACAAGAACAAATAACTATCTCCGTCAGGCCGAAGTCGAAGTACCCCTGCAGACTATAAAACTTAAGACTATTCTAAAAACAAAAACTCTGAAATATATTTAAATATTGGCGATGGCAAGACTTCTGAAATTTCAGCTCTTCAAGAAATGCACAAATTTAATACTGATATAATACTAAACTTATAAAATACCAAGCTAAAAATGATTAAACTTTGAACGCAACTAACGAGCGCTCAACTGTTAGAAGATTATTGGAATCTCAATCAACTAAAGCAGCTATATAATATAGCGGTTCTATTTAAAAGTCTATCAATAAATTATGGGGCGATTCACTTGGACAAACTGATAAGCAGACAAAAGGCTCTGCATTATCTCTGTATATATGATATTGATATTCATAAAGATTTTCAATTGATCTGCAAAGGGCACATAGAAGATGTGAAGAGGTTTGGAGTAGTATCGGCATAGGTATTTCTGTGTGGGTGTGTGTGTCCAGGGGTTTGGCAACCAGGTGGGGCATGCGCGGAATTACGTCCAGTTAGAAGACTGTTTAACATTTAAACATAGCTCAGACTGACATAGAATCATAAGAGTATCAAAAATATATATGCACCAGGCATTTGTGCTGTACAGTGTGTGAATTGAACAACAGCAAAAACAGCAAAAGTATGTTATCGTTATTGTTATCGTTATCGTTATCGTTATCGATATCAAATCAATCGAACAGCGCATGCTGAAAACTGGTTGAGTGGCCCCACCCCCAAAAAAAAAACAACAATGTGTGCCTGCTGAGTGTAAAGATAATCGGAGAGAGAGCGGCATATAGATAAAGACATAGGGGGTAAGTGAGATATAGAAAAAGAGAGAACTCAAAAAGATATAGAACAATACAAACAAACAAAATATATATATATATATATATATATATATATATATATACAATGTGTGCCTGCTGAGTGTAAAGATAATCGGAGAGAGAGCGGCATATAGATAAAGACATATATATATATATATATATATATATATACATATAGACTTAACATTATGCAGTCTTTAATGTTTGTATTAGTTCCTTAAAACGTATTGGAATTGAAATGGAAATGAAACAGAAAATTAAATGGAAAACATAAGAAAAGAGAGAAAGAGGGAGAGTTTTGTATGGGAAAACGTGAACAAGAAGTTTTACGGCTCTGTTTCAAACGTAACAAACAAACCAACCATCCAACCAACAGTTTCGATCACGAAATAATCTAAAAACGTAAAATCTTATAAATAATATACATAGTTCTTTATGTTTGGTTTTGCTTTCTTTTTTTGTTTTTATATATATATTATTTAATTGAAAAATATATCAACTACAAAGTTTTTGGTTCTTTAACAGTTTTATGCCATTTTTTTTTTAGTTTTTGTTTGGAACAAAAAAGGAAATGGAAACGTAAAAAGTGAGTTTAAATATGAAAAAAAAAACACAAATTTTTTTCTGAATTTTCTAACGCAAAATGGGAGCGGGGGAGGGGTTGGGAGCGTGGGATAAGGATAGCGGACAAGGGGCTTAAAGAAGAATAGTTGCTTATAAATTTAAATTCAAATATAACAAGAAATTTGTTCATTGCAATACCTCGAAATCCTTTTATCGTATACGATATATTTCAGTTCGTATTGTGAATATTCGATTCGTTTTTTTATTTGTTTTTGATTATTTTTATTGTTCAAATTTTGTTTTCAGTTTTCGTAATTTTTTAGTATTGTTTGTATATTGATCAATTTTTGGCATGTAAGTGAGGTAGACCAATCGATTCGAATTATTCGTAACGTTTCGATTCGTAGGGAACGTGTTTGAATCAATATCAATATCCACAAATGGGAGAGCAACGGAGCAGCGTTCCACGTACGACAAAAAACATTAAACAAACAACAAAGAAAATTAAATAAAAAGAAAGTTGACGAAACGCTTTTGTTTCATTTAGTTTTATATAATTTTTTTTTTTTTGTTTTGTTTTAAAATTGAAAATAGAATTTCTAGCGTTTTTTTTTTGTTTTTGTTTTGTAGCACACTAGGGAGAAACGATATGAAATGTGGTTGTTGTTGTTGTTGTGTAAAGAGTCGAAGTTTTTATATTTTATTTATATATTTTTGTTTCTTTTTGGCTTAATTTTTGTAGTAATTTTTGGAAATCGGGACAATGGGTAGGGCAGCTAAATCTTAGTTATTGTTGTTGTTGCTGTTGTTGTTGTTGTGGTTTATTATTCATACATAAAGAAAAAAGACGAAAGAAAAGAAAGAAGAAGTAGAAGAAAAGAAAAGATCGAGAGCAAAAAATACTTGTAGAAAAAGACGAAAATAAAATAAATTTAGAAAGAAAATTAAATGTAGAAATTTGAGCTGTAAGAAGCTAACAAACTTTGTATACAAGAAAGAGACAGAGAGACTCGGAAAGAGACAGAGAAGACAAGTGAAGGAAGAGAGCGAGAGAGAGAAAGATACAAATACCGAATATACCGAATAAATAAACAATAATAACACAAATCAATTTCAAATCAGAAACAAATCAAGGAGCTCTAAAGACAAACGATAAACCGCAAATATACCAAGGACCATCTCAAAAGTGAGCTTTAGTATATGCACAAGAACAACTGGTATTTTGTACATACATATATATGTATATATACTATATATGTTAATTTACTTTACATAGAAACTTTTTTATCGGGGGCGTTATGCCTAGATAGAAGTCAAAGGAAACAAAATATTGCGAGGGAAAAGTATAATAAATTAGGTAAAGGAAAACGCATAAGAAATAGGAAAATAATGATCTTAACGGTAAACGGCTTGTCGACTCGCTCGCACACACACATACACATATACAGACACGTGCTCTCTCGATCTCTTCGGCAAAGGGCATACGAAAGAGAGCTGGGCGACGGCTGTTTGTTGCATATACAGCCATACACAGTACAGCAGATTAACAGTATAACAATGTAACAGCATAACAGTATAGCCGTTATAAGCGTATAACAGCTATAACGGAATAACTGTTTCACAGTAACAGTTTAACAACTTAAATGTATATGCTTCTATCAATATAACAGTTTTGCTGCATGCCAGTATAACTGCATATGGGTTCTACACCATATTAGTATAGCACCATAACAGCTATAACCTTTATAACATTTATCATAGTAAAACAGCTTTACAGTATAATAAACCCGTTATATCACTTAAAAGAGTATAACAGCTGTACAGTTTAACCGGTTTACAGCCGTATAACAGTTTTTCACTATAATAGCTCTGACAAGTTTACAGTAAAACGGTTATAACAGTATAACAGTTTTGGTCATAGCTGCATAAATGTTATAAGGCACTGTTAGCTGAGTACAGCACAATTTAAAATAGAGCTTTTAAACAAAAAAAAACTTAATAGGAACTGAACAGGCAAAAGTAAGGAATGAGCTAGTGACTCGAAAATACATTCACACCACGATTTCTCAAAATTTAAGCCTGAATATACAAAATCAAAACTCTTGTAATATTTATATATAGCGCTTTCAATTAGATAAATTCTTTTTTATGTTATTGTTTGTAATAATTGTTGTGTTTCTCTTATTTTTTTATAATCGAAAATTGTACACATTACAAAAAAGTAGCGAAAAGAATTTGAGAAAAAATTTGATGACAATGAAGAAGACTTATCTGATATCGCTCGAGACGGAATATAAAGAGAAAAACCGAAACAAGATAAGTATAAGAAAAAGAAGAAACAAAAAGGAAAACTTAAGAGACAAGAAAAATAAAGTATGAAAGATAATGCCCAGATTAATGAATATCGTAAGCATAATCATAAGATGATGTTAGCAAATGTATCGAATCGATTAGAATAATAATTAAATAAAGTAGAGAGAGTATAATGAATATAGCATTCAGTACATTCACTAGCACAATATATGGATTATATGATATATGGTTGTATGTTTTTTTTTATTATTATTATTTTGATTAGTATTGCTTAGTCCGATCGAAAGGGGCTTCGATATTAATTCATTGTTGCTCATTTTCGCATTTACATATGCATTAGACAAGTAAATAGATATATATAGGAGGTCGAGAGACAATGAAAATCAGGAAAGTAAAACGAAAATAAACTGAGAGAGTTACGAAATGTAAGAATATATATATATTATATATATATATATATATATTATATATTTTTGATTTCGATAATTGTTAGGGGTTAAACTCGGGGATGAATGAAATAGAAAATTATATAAACAAATCCCAGGAATTGCTCGAAATCATAATCTGTATCAGATATTACATATATATACATATATATATATATATTTGTATATATCTACACATATATATATATATATATATATATATATATATAAAGAGGTATACATATATATATTTTCAATGTGAATTGGGACAGTCGGGCAGGTAAGCTTAGAGAGAAGTTAAGGCGAACGCCTTGATGGGTGCTACGAAACAGTTGACAGACTGGGCACATCGTCCAGCTATAATGCCCAAGTAGTTCCATGTAGACAGTATTAATTCTCAGTTAGACTTTACTTATGCTTTTTGTGATAGTTAAAAATTATAACGCAAAATATTGAGAAGGTCCTTGTGTTACGTATATATATATATATATATATATATATATATATATATATATATATATATATATATATATATATATATATATATATATATATATATATATATATATATATATATATATATATAGGACCTACATATAAATATATATAAACATATATCTATATATATCTATACATATATGTATATATATATATATATATATACATATAGTAAATCAATTTGCCTTGCAACGATACAAAAGAAGAAACAGAGGAAAATATAGAAAACTAAAAATAAGAGAACGAACCAAAAGACCAAAGCGAAAAAATAAGAATCAATTCGAAACAATAGACAGACATAGTTGATAATACGAAGACAAAAACGAAAACGAAAATTAGAAATGAGAATGAAAACGAAAATCAAAATCAAAATTCGCCCAAAAATGTGAATACTTAGTATTTTAGTATGTATATTCTTTATATGGAATTTGTACTGTACTTTCTCTTATTGTCGTAGGTTCATTAAAAAAAATATATTAAATGTTGTTATATATATATATATATATATATATATATATCAGTCATATACATATATATATATATAGAAGTTATAGACGCACATTAGGGACTTTTTTTAAAAAAGTTTTTGGGGATTTTCTTTGGTATTTATTTGACTGGAACATATTTTATTTTTTAGGTATTATTGGAGCAAGTGGCAAATGGTGGACGACAACACCAATTGCCGGGCATAACGAATATATATATATATATATATATATTTGTATGTATATATAGATATTGGATATACATAGTTAGGATAATACATATATGTATGTAAATGTCTGTAGTTAGTTATATGTAAGAGCTGAGAGAGACAGAGAGAGAGATACAGACAGCGAGAGAGAGTGTGACTCCGAAAGGTTTCGTAATGAATTCGATTTGTTTTACTTTGTCTGGGCTTTTGATTAGATGTTAGTATGTGTCTATTATATTGGGATGGAGATGGTTGGGATATGGGTCGGGGCTTTACGTATTTCAGGTAGACTTGATGCGTATATGTTTATGGTTTTTTTTATATAGATGCAGAGAGTTGTACACAAAACGAGTATTTTTAGAGAGCGGCGAGGTATATGTATATGTGTATATGTGTGTATATATGTGTGTGTGTCTGTGTGTGTGTGAGTGTTTGTGTCTACAGGTGTACGTGTGCTTGTGTGTACTTAGGAGAGAGACAGCGACACTTACCTTGCTGTTGGAGAACAACAAACCGACACCCTCTAGACAGACCTGCAGCAGTCCACCCTCGCCCGTATTCATATCCTGCACTGGAAACTCACCGCCCAATTCGGGGACATTTGTGGGCGTGCCGCCGCGTTCCATGGCCTCCTTGATGCAATTATACAGCTCCTTGCACTGTCATATTAAACAGTTCACATAATCGATATATATTATATGATACTGTCAATATGACCCACCTTGCGTGTGTAGTATTTGTGAAGCTGCGTCTGACCGCCGTTGCGACGCCACAGACAGAGTAACTTGGTCTTCGGGGAATAGGTCATATTGACCAGACGCTCGTACCACCAGCGCTCCACAATGGTGCCATCCACGGAACGCAACACCAAGCCATCATCGCGCACCTCCATGAAGCGCAACGGACCATTGACATCGATGCCCTGATGCACGGTAAAGCTCTGACGGTGTAGCAGTCGTGAGCCCAATGGCTTCAGATCTATATCATTGCCGTTCTATAAGTAGACCAGAGAATAGTTGAAATAATTAAAATATGCTTCTAAACGCCTCATACTTAGACACATCACATTGATAAGATAAAAAAAAAACAATATACTCGTTTTCCCTATGTGTACAGAGTATAAAAGAGTATCAGGCAGCCTATACACCTGTGTTTACTTTGTAAATAATGTGGAAAAAAACATACCAGATTGTTGATCTGATCGACTACATTGTGCACCTCCTGCGAGTAGACCAATCCGATGTGACTCTTTCCCAGGAGGCGGCGTATCTTGCGTCTGATCTCATCCTTGGTCACATTCAACATCACCAAGATGGCGGTCAGATTGTAGAGCATGGTACTCAGCAAGCGATCCTCATCGTGCTCGAGACGTTTGCGTTCCGACTCGCTCAGTGACTTATAGCGCTCCATCATTTCAATGGGTCCCTGAATGGCATGCAAGAAGCATTAAGATTTCTCTTTAGAGCCTGGAACTTAGCAGATGAAACTTGTCTCACCTGATCCATGCCGATCATATCACGCTCCTGACTGACAGCATCCAAGAAAGCATCCTCCCAGAACTGCATTTGATTCCAGAGATTGAGCCGATCCTTGCCCAGCAGGCCCTCGAAAAGATAAACCCTCGGACTATCTGGCGATGGCGACGATGAGGTATTTATCAAATGCCCGCCCGTATAGCGGAAACCGGCGCTGAGCGTCGACTTGCCCGACCACAAGTTTCCGGTGCTCTTTTTCGAGTCTTTCGACGTGGTGGTCTGTGAAAGAACAGCGTTCGAAACGATCATGTAAAATCCAAGTCTAAAGTCAAGAGAAAAGCCAACTTAATCGTATATTGATGATCGATGCAGGTCTTGAGCCAAAAAGTGAGACAACAACAGCTACAACAAGTTGATAAGTGCGCTCCTTATGCTATGTGTTTGGGACTTGGGTTGAGACGGGTTGAACGGATCGATTTAGTTATTATCGATCAATCGATCGATCGATTAATCAAACGGGACATCCATCTGTGTACTTACATTTTCGTATTCGGTGTCTGAGACTGTGGAACGGCAGCTGGATGGCATGCGAACGCTCAAGCTGCTAGCTGGGAGCAGATCACTGACTACGGATAGCGCGCCCGTGGAGCCAGCAGCCTACGAATTACGATATACATATGTTTATATATAAATTGATACGAAGTACGATATACGATATACGTCAAACGTTAAACGTTATACGTTAACATTATACGTTACACGTTATGCGGCATATGATATACGTTTTGCGATATAGACTATTCGACATACGATAAACCATATGCGATATACGGTATACGATACACATTATACGATACACAATATATTGTATGCGATATACGACGCATTACTCTTCATACTATATGTGATATACGATATAAGATATAAGCTTTGAGAAATTCGATATATGATATACGATATACTGTTCACATTATACGATACATAATATATTGTATGCGGTATACAAAATACATGATTCATTCATATAGTAATATGCGATATACGATTGACGATATGCGATTATTTGTAGCCGACATTAAACATTGATTTGAGCGTGGCCCATTTTGACAATATACTGATAAGCTCTTTATGCGATGTATAGTTAGACAACGATTACGATAGCAATAGCAATAACAATAGCGATGCACGATACTGACGCTGATACACTGAATGGACGTGGGCATGGGGGCGTGGCAACTATGATTAAATAATTGACTAATAATATGAATATAGCTATATATATATATATATATATACTTTTGCATATATATTATGGTGGGAATCGGGAATATCGAATTATATATACTACTGAATCGCTACCACTCACATCTGAATCGAACGAGGTGAGCATATTCTTCAAGGCACTTCTCTTCTGCGACAACATATCCTTGAACATCTCCGTTGTCGACTGCCCATCTTGGCTATCTGCCGACGACAGACGACGCGCTGCAGCTGTTGATTGTGAAGTCGGAAGTGCCGTATGCGTTGAACTCTTGCGCGACTCCTGCGGCGAGGCCCACTCACTGCCCAGCCCGGAATGGGAGCCATTGGGGCTGCTCGGCGAGCGTAGATTCTCACGACTGCCCATGGGACTAGCCGCATGACTCGACAGCAAACTGGATGACATATCGCTGCCCTCATTAATCTCTTTACTCCAGTAGTGTGTATGCGCCACCTCCATTAGCTGGAATACTGACGCCATGCCGCCGAGTCCGAAATTGCTAAATGTCACATCGAGGCCTCCAGCAATGGCTTGCACACACTTCAGCATGCCCTTCCACACGGGCTTGGTGACACACTATGGGGAAAAAGAAAGGGAAACATTTGTTTATTATCGTAATCCACTGAAAAATTATCTGAATAACTTCTATTATTTGCAAACAGCTAAGGTATTCTTTTCAGCTTTATAGGACTTATAAATATCTATAATTTGCATTCGTGTTACGATCTGATCTTGTCTGAAAGCCTTCACAACTTCTATGTATTGAGGCAAAGACACTATCTGTTCTATAAACCGTCTGCACCCTTACCACATCATCAATATGATCGTCGGGCGCAATTTTCTTGTCCAGCGTCTTGTTTAGCTTGCTGAGCACCAGCGTGCGATAGGATTCATCCTCCATCAGTTTCTTGAAGCGATTGAGCTTTAGCCAGCCAATGCCCTCGCCCGCCAGCACCTGAGTGGTGACATCCTTGAGGAACGCCTGATTCTCGGCATTGCTATGCGAACGTTCTTGATTCTGTTGACGTGTTAGGTCCTCCTGCGTTTGGCGGGGGCCCGCATGCTTAATAAGTGGCGTACGCTCGACGAGACCTTTACGACTAGGAAACGGATCAAAATTGATGCCAGCCTTATTCTTAGGTGATGATACATTTGTCTGCTTGTGCTGCATGGCCGCCTGCTTCTGTTGGTTCTCTGTGAAGGCATACATATGTAAATAAGCTGGAGAGGAAGTAGTTTAAAGTGTAAGCTTACTCTTTCCAAACATTCCCGAAAACATTGTTGTTGTGGAGGAGGCCAGGCCATTAAAATCGGTGCCAATGGAGGAAAAGAAATTGTTGCCACCGCCGGCTTGTTGCACCTGCTTCTGTGTCGCCAGCTGGGAATTGGGCGTTGGTGGAGCATTGCTTGTAGCTGCAGCTGATGAACCATGCTCCTCAATCTTGATGATGCCCTTCTTGGTGGCCGCCTCTTTGGCCGTCTTGGTTAGATCGCCCAAAGTAGACTTGCCCACATAGGTGAGATCTTCCAAGGTGTTTTTGCTAACGCCAGCTGCCTGCTTGGACACCTCCAGCGCCTGCTTGGACGCCTCACCGGCCGCCTTTTTTGCATGCAACGTAAACTGTGGACAGCACAGCAAATCAATTTAATCACATATCAATTTAAGAAAGAAAAAGAAGCGATTACTTGAGAGCTACTACGAAACAACAGCGCAGAGTGCAGGTTAATGGCAGCCAATGCAACTAACTACTCGGGATGAGATTATATCGGTTAGCTACAAGGGGTTTCAAGGTTGTCAGCTAACTATTTGCTACAGTTTATTACAGTCAGTAATCGTTGCTAGATAGTTTTGCCACCTTATGTAAATAGTTAATATTCTATGAAAGCTCATATTAAGAATCAGATTTCTCTTGAATAATCAGAGACTCAAGCAATCAGTCTTTCAGGCCGTCAATCAATCAATCAAACAGAATTGGCATGTGAGCCTGTCAATCAGTCAGTCAGTCAGTCAATCAAACAGTCAATCAGCCAGGCAAGCAGTCAGAAAAGACCAAAACTAACATGAACTCGACTGTGAGTGCTTTAAGCATGGACATGAGCGTTGATGTTATCAAAGAGTATAACTATCGATGCGATTATCGTGTGTGTATTCATGTATGTGTTTATGTGTGTTATATGAAAGCTGTTTATATGGGTTATGTGACTGAGAGTGGCTGGGTACCAACCTTTTCGAAGGTGTGTCGCATTTTGTCATCTAGATCTTCGTCCAGTGCATGCTATACTTAGTTATACATTCGTTAACATGAAGTAGACACAGAGTGCGATTGGGATTTATCGATATCGATGGCAAACGCATCATTTGCATAATCATTTATTCAATTATCGTTTATCATTTAGTCAAATAGTCAAATAGATGAACAACAAAGAGCACAACAACACATTGAGTCCGACATTGGATGCACAATACAAAAATTTACCACAAATTCGCTCAGCATTCAACTCACCTTGTCGACGTGGGCGAGCAGGCCTTCCTGGCTGCTCTGACGCGTCGTCTCGCGTACCAGCTCCTTGGCGTGCGAGGCAAAGTTTTCGAACAGCGAACTCTGTGAGCTCTGGCGACCCGGACTACTCGAACTCGAACCAGAACTTCCTGTACGGGCCAATATATTGCTAACACTCGGCTGCTTGACGGGCGGTGTGAGTGGTGGCTAAAAGGGAAATGTTTTCAATACATTATTTATATATTAAATATCTCTAAATTCGCTAACTCTTGTAGTTGCCGAGATTGACAGACAGACTCAACCTTTCATCTTCTACAACAGTCTAAGAACATTTTCCTTCTATCTCTCTCTCTCTCTCTCTCTCTCTCTCTCTCTCTCTCTCTCTCTCTCTCTCTCTCTCTTTCTCTTACCGGTATCTTTTTCTCCGAACGCTCCACGTCGCCGGTGTTTCGTTGCAATTTGTTACTGGCTATGCTCTTGCCGGTCACCGTGGAGGTTGTATCCGACTCAGCCTCCAGGCTGGCCATTTTGATGGTCGCCTCGAGTCGCATAGCCAAGGGTGTAGCCAGCTCAAAGGCACCCGCTGCAGCCGGCGCTGCCTTCTGTCCTGACTTGGGCTGGAAGTCAAACTCTGAGTCACGATTAAAGCTGGGTGAACTAAGGTCCGAGCGGCTAGATGAGGAAGACACTGGTGAATCGGCTCGCTCCTCATCACCCTTGCTTTTCGTAGGTCCGGCCAAGCCCTCCGGATACTGTAGCTTGCTGGGCGGATGATAAACGAGAGCTGGATCCAGATTTGAGGATAATGTTTGCGGCACGACATGCGGTCGATTGTAGGAGCCGAAGACGTCGTGTAAGCTGGGCGACAGATCCGAGGACGCCATTTCGGAGACAAAATCACTTAAAGAGCTGTACGAGGAGCTGCTGCTATCTGCCCCCTCCGAGTCCGAGCCGCTCTCATCCGTGGGCTGGCACTCGAGCTGCTTGAGTGAGCGCAGCGCACCATTCAAGGAGCTGCCGTCATCCCACACGGAGAAGCGTATAGGTGTAAGGGAGTGGGCGAACCATTTGGGCTTATCGCCCACCTGCATGGGATCCATGACGCCCGTCTGCACACGCAGGAAGGCAACATTTGTGGGGGTTAGCGACCATTCCGCCAGGAACTCAACAGCCTGCGTGCGAGCAAACTGATTGAGGAAGAGCGAGGCACGTGGACGTGAACGTAGAAAGCTATTGATTTGGAAGGCGACAACGGGTCGAGGATAAAGACGCAGCGTGCGCGTATGTTCCGCAAAGTTCGCCAACGTATTTTGGGCATTGAAGAACCGAACCATTGCTACACGTGTGGCCACATCCACCGAGTCCACATCGGTGCCATAGACAAAGGGATTCAGGGCTGGCGAATTCATTGGACTAGGCTGGCGGGACAACATGGCGCCCTGGGCAGACACCGAATTACGCTGACTGGCATGGGCGGAGTGCGGGGGCGTTTGCAACGGCAAACGCACTTGGGAAACCCTAAGAATGACGAGTATGAACACATCCATAAAAAAGAACGCAAATATATATATAAACACAGTTGGATGACTTACCCCAATAGCGGCGGCTCCTGCAGACTATCCCGCACTGAAGGAAGCAGCTGTTGTGAGGAGACAGCCTGATTGGATGCTGTCATCGATGTTAAAGCCTGTTTCGAGCAATCAAAATAGTCGATTTAGTGAGCTCAACTAAGCTAATAAGACATTAGGCTGGAAACTTCAAAATGGCTAACTATAAGAAGGGTTACAGCAAAAGGTAAGGTAGGGCCTTTGGGATTAACTAGTTACAAGATCTGTCTATATATATACAAAAATATAGACAGTGGGTATTACAATTAAACTTATGTCTGAAGAAGCATGCACACACAAGAAGACAGAAGCAAAGACTCAACAGAGTCTGAGAAGAGAGAGAATAAGACTGTGCCTAATTATAATGAAGCTCTGATTAAAGCTCAATAATAGAGTAGATTTTAGAGAAATTTATAGAAAACAGAACGAGTATATATAGAGGTATATGGATACTTCTTGAAAATAAGTCAATTCAATTGAATTTTAAAGGAAAAATATGAAATTTCGTCTAACTACAAACAAGATTTTCAGATAAAGAATATTAAAAGAATAACACAAAATTTCCAATTGGAATTCAAACAATTCCTAGAAATATCCATAAAATAGCCTATGATTATATAGCACATTAGTTAGAGTTATGAAGGAATAACATTTCTTGGGAATATACATATTTTCGTTTTCCATTTAAGATATGACTGTATGCATGCATTTGTATATATGTATATAGATTAGGTATAGGTCTTGTTAATAGTATAATACAACACAGTAGTATTATATATATACATATATCTTTTAGTATTAGATATGTACAGAACGCTTGTAACTCAAATGTCAAATATGTAAATGATAAAATGTTAAAAGAAACGTAAAAATGTTATTTAACATATGTGAACGATATTTACACCAAGTCCAGCTTCATCCATAAGTAGCATAGCCTGCAGTTGTAGTAGTAGTAGTAGTAGTAGTTGTTGTTGTTGTTGTTGTTGTTGTGATCAAGTTTAACAAATTCGTATAACAGATAATGCATGAATGTTAGAAGTAGAGTAGTACAGCGTATTAGCGATGTAAAAGCCACAAAACGATAGAGACAAATACAGAGTGGTCGGGACGAAGAGAGAGGGAGAGAGAAAGAGAGAAAGATAGAGTATTGAGAGAAAGAAACAGTGATAGAGAGAGAGAGAGAGATGGAGCAATAGAAATATGAAAATAAATGTTTTAAGTAAATGTAAAAGTATAAAGAAGATAAAGAAAAATAATGTTCAAATCATATATATGGACTTCTCTGTAAGTGTAACTCCAAGGCGATATAGACAAGTATTATATATATATAGATATAGATATATGTATAGAGCACAATCATACAAAATCGGGTAAAAGAGGCGAAAAAAATGTAATATAACGGTTAATCAACGATTTCGACCGTTGAACAATCGAGACGCGAGCTTTATAGCAATCGCATATCGATAACATATAGACGATCAAAGCGTTTTCCATATCAAGATATACACTTAAATATAGTATATGACATGATGTATGCATAAATATATATATTTATATATATAAATATATGTACATTCCTTCATATATATATATATATATATATATATATATATAGATATAGTCTTAAGCACATGTGCGAGTTTGAAAGAGTGTGTTAACAATCAGATAAGTAAATAAGAGAATTTTCTAGTCGCAGTTGCGCGGCTAGCAAATACCCTGTACCCAAATAGATATAGAATATTTATATATACATAAAATATGTTGGGAGCGTAAAGGTTTTAATGGCATATCTAACACATATATATATAACAACCTACATAGTCCCTGTGTATAAGGAATATAAACAGATTCAGAAAATATGCTAGGAATATATGTATATATAACATATATAAGCAACTTTACAGACAACTTATATGGGCGCAGGGCTTATATGAAATGTTTTCCTTTCTGTTGGAGGACCTTTTTTTCTTATCCATTTGCTTAGTTGAGTTTTACGAAAATCATGCTCGAGTTAGCTGTCAGTTTTCAGCTCCCACACCTCAATTTGAATTAAATGCATAACTTAGTTTAGAAATTTTGTTTGTGGTTCTGTTTCTTTCCCTCGGAAATTTCGCTTTTTTTGATTTGAAGCCAAAAAAAAGTAGAAAAGCATAATAATACCAGAGCGAAATCAAGAAGAAGCAAAAATAGTTACAGATACAGTTGAAAATGCGCCGCGAAAGAATTGCCGCCATGTCTACAGAAGAGACGACATCTCTCAGAAATGCAGAAGGCATACGAAAATTCACCAACTTGATGGATCCACGCTTGGATCAGCTGGTGGTGTACAGCTCCGTGCTGGAGCATTTGCTGCAACAGAAGCACCATTATGAACAGGAGCGCGACATGGAGCTGCTGCGCCTCGAGAGATTCAGGTGCGAGGGTGCCAAAGCTAATCGGATACTCGTGCAAATGCAGGTGGTAAAAAAGGTGCAGGGCATGCTCCCAAATATTGTGTTCAAGTTGCGCAATGAGTACGACAAATTCGAGCGCTTTCTGCATAGAGAGAAGGGACTCCAGAGCATTAATCTGTCTCTGTATGACAAAGGTCTGCAGTTACTTAGCATCTGCAAAAAGAATCTAGAGCAGACTCTATAGACATGGTTGCACTCTCGTCCTCCCACACACAAGCCCCCCCCCCCCCCCCCCCCCCTCCACTCACACGTAACCAATCCCAATACACAATTACGTAATTGTCGCAACAAAATTTGGATAGCCCCGACCCCCAACCAACCATATGGATAAGCGTCACAAGAAATGGCATTGTATATCAATATATCCATCGCATCTTACCCAAAGGGGCTTACCTGTTTAAGATGATTTTTTAATATTGTGCCCTCCGGCTCGGGCAATGGAGGTATCTCATCGTATCCACCAGTTGGTGGCGTCAGCTTGGTGGAATCCAAATCCACAACCCATATATCATCGGGCAGCCTGCAATTTAAAGGATCACTAATCGTTCTGGATACCGGATGCTATGCGAATCGATTTGGAACTGTCAGGCATTGTCGGGTATAGCCGGGCTTTACCAGGCAGTACCGGGCACTTCCAGTACCTAACAGCATTTACTATAGCGGATACTACAAGGTACTAACAGGTATTATCAGGCAACACTTGACCGGTCATTGCTCTGAAACACCGTGCGGTACCAGATATTACCTGGCGCTACCTGGTATTACCAGCTATAGCGGCTACAATCGGGCACCATTAGTCACTGATCTTATCAGATATTTGTCAAGCATTCCCTGGTTCTAATGAACACCATTGGATACAATAGGCACTATCGGCGCTACCGCCACAACACACTTACCTGAAATTCTTTTTATAGATGAGAAATGAGGCTGGCACACCGATGACAAAGGGCGTGGGCGCGAGCAACAGCTGCTCGGCACAGCTGAGGCATGTGGGCAGCAACGGTATGACCGGAAACATGTACTCCAATGGATATAGCATTGTTACGAACGCCATTACCGACATGGAGAGTGCATTATAGTCGCGCGACTGGAAGAGCACCTTATTCTCCAGCATGATCAGTGTCCACACCTTCAGACATGTCTCCACGCCAAGCAATTCCAATGGCAAATGCAGCGGAAAGTCAACGAGCGAAAATCGTGTGTGATCCGGCAATGCGAAAAGCAACGGTTCGTGCACAGTGGGCGACAGCACCTCCACCTATGAGGAGCACGCACGCACACACACAAAATGAAACAAATCAATTAATGACAAAGCTTATAGATAATTGTACATAATAACAGCTGTTTAAAAACATCAAATCCTTTTCAAGCTGAGATTACTTGTGAAAAATAGAGAAACGGCCACATTTAAATTGACTCGTTTATTTAGTGGATTGTGATGTTTCTTCTATTGACACTCTAGCTCTTGGCCGCATGTTAAATGTTTATTAAGAAACAGGCTAAGGCGGCGCAAGACTTTGATAATTACCTCGACACGCGTAGAGCCTGGCACCGGCACCGGCGTAGAGAGCAGACGTAGGATCCACGTCTCGATCTCGCGCACATCATGCAGCACAATGGAGGGTGTCGCCTCGCTGGCATGCCCCGTCAACACCGTCCACACATTGTCCCGATTGAGCTTCTGCGAGGCACCCACACGCTTCGGCGAGGACGACTCGTTGCAGGCATCGATCAGCTTCTTCAAAATGAAGAGGCACTCGCGAAAGGTGGTGAAGAACGGATGATGCGATATGATGCAGAGCGATGTTAACGATTGATTGCGCAGTTTGGTTCGCTTACGCGACGCTCGTGGCGATGGTGAATGACTGCCGCCCGATTCCGAGTCCGCGGAGGGTGCCATCAGGCCCAGTTTGGGCACTGAGGCCGCTGGATGATGGTGCGTATGTAGACGCAGCTGGTCAGAGTCGCGACGCGAGGTCAGTTCACGATCCGAATCACTGGGCGCTACGTTACTTCTGTAGTCGCTAGAAGTAGTTAAGAGGCCGTAACTATTATGGAAGTGGTTTAAAAATCGGTTAGATCATAAAAGCCAAAAGCGTATTATAGCCAACCAGCATTAGCAGCAGCACCACGCTGCCAGCCTGCCTGCGCTGCACACACACACTTGCCTGCTAAACGCCGAATCGGAGCTGCGCTCCATGCTCTTTCGCCACGACTCACGACGAAAGGCAGATGAACGCCGACCACGGCCACCTCCACTTGCACCGCCCCCAGCGCCAGCGCCATGCCCACCACCGGCTCCATTGCCAGCCGCGCCGCCACGCTCAACGCCCGCCGCCGAGCAAGGTCGTTCGATGGGCCTGTAGAAGTTCACACAGATGCCATAGCGCGTCTTGCCCGAATCCTTGTCCGTTAGCGCAAACACAAACGAGGTCATATCGCGTATGGCGGAGCCAGTGCGTCGTGGTCCCACGCTGGTGCAACCCTCCGGCTGACAAAAGTAAACCATGTCCAGCGGCAGCGGAAAGTCTGCGTGATCCGATGGCGGATAACGTCGCAGCAAATCGGGCACCTAAACAGTGAGCAGAAAAAAGATTAGCTTACACTAGTCAACCTGAAACGCCTGGCACACAGCCTAAACTCAGCTGAAGCTAAGAAGAAGCTACAAGCAATGTTAGCTAGTGTAAATAGAAGGATATTCTAGGTGATATTCAAACAGAGAACTCTTCAGTAGTCTTCAAATCAATCATACAATCTACGAGATACACCCAAAAAACGTTAGGTACATATCGATATTTATCGATTTTAATTGTTATACATTATTCTGAGAATTATGTGCGAGAATGCACAGTCGATTTGATTAATTATAAGATATAAGATATGATATCTATGGTCAATATGTTTTCCCATGGTATAACCCAATTATAAGTAGGAAACAAGGGACATTTCGAAGACTAGTAAAAATTTGGTATGCATAGCAGTAAAATGCTTCCAGATTTGACTCAAAAGCCCTTGACTTCAATAAAAATAAAGGCACAATATTTGCTTGAGGCAGACATTCATGTCTTCTCTTGATTTTGATGGAGTACATATAAACGCTATCAATAGCCTCCGTTAGGTGAACATTATGATATTATAATGAGTATACAGGGTATAATAAGTCATAATTTATGCACCCTTGGCAGCAGTTATAATCAACACACACACACACACACACAGGCACACAACACTCACCTGCACCGGCGGCGCCTTGCTGCCCTGCATGCCCTTGGGCATTGGCGGCGTTGTGTGGGCACCCACAATGGCCATGTAGTCGACGAGGCGCGGGCATAATGAGGCGCGTTGTTGATCCGACATTTTCGGTATACTCTCTACTCACTACCCTTGCTCGATGGGATTCTGTAAGTACAAAGTGGAAGAGAGGAAAACAAAATTGTAAGATGAAATCAGAGATAAACAGCGTGAGTAATTAGGGGGAGCAAAGAAAGCATAGCGCAAGCAAGGTCGTAATCCATTAGTCACATCTGGTAGCCAAGTTAAGCTACACACAACGCTGCTTTTCACACAGCCGTAAATTAAATTTACCGCTCAACACAAGCGCATGTTAGCAATTACAGCTCAAAAGCAAGCTCCATGCGGCAGCAGGATGTTTCTATGCAACTTGCCCTTGAGCGGCAATGTGGGGCATGCGAAATAAAATTAGTTGCCTCAAATGAAAGCCTGCTTAATTGCTGAATATTCAGCTAAAAAACCTTTATTCAGCTAAAAATAATCTCGAGCCTTAAATTTACAAACTTATCACATTTTCACATAGCTCTAAATATTAAGAAGGAAATACTTAGATGGGTATAGAAAGCTATAAGAACCTTAGCCAGTTAGAAGTTAAAGCTTTGCATTTATTAACCTTAATCTGTGCAAGATTCTGGCTGTAAGCATTGGCTCTCGCATGACCTCGCTGTTTTGCATAGATTACTGACAACTGGGACTTAGGATCGCTACGAGCGATTGTACGTCCAAGCTAAGAATCGGAATTCTTATAACTAGGAATTAAAAAAAAATAAATAAAACACCAAAAAAGCAAAAGAAATCAACTACGAAACATCTCAAGAAGATAATTTATGGTTCTCTAAGCCTTTTCTGGGCATCTGGACATGAAGTCAAGGCTTCACACTGACTGAAGCTGACAACCCTTGCTGAAGCCTATTAGCATTAGTTTTAGTAATAGTATTAGTACTAATGTTATTATTAATCATAATATTAATCATTCATTATAATCATCATTATATTTGACTTTATTATCACTACCATTAACCAGCTGAGCTCAGCTGTCATTGGATTGTTTTTACTTTACTGGATCCTCTCATTAAACTGTAGAACAAACTGCTCAACAGTAAACTCAATATGTGTAAAACTTATCCGTAGCATTCACTTAAGTTGTTTTGAAGTTTTAAGTGCTTCAGCTGGAAAGCTTTCAATTAAATCTTTTATAATTGCAATGCGAAGCCGGTGAAGGCGGGAAATCGAAAACCGTCGGCACAACATTTCCCTCCAATTACTGCATCAGCAGATGTGGCTTTAATTAATAACGTAATGCAACACGATACTTAAACTGTAATGAACGAGAGAGAGGGAGGGAGCGAGGTAGGGAGAGTAATGGACAGCGAACGAGGGAAAGATAGCTAGATAGACAGATGAATGTGCGTCAATTGGGCTTCGAAGAAAAATGGAAAATGGAAAACTTTGAGGCGCAAAGCCCGGCAAAAGCCAAAGGAAATGATTTTCTGATTGCTCTAAGCCCGCACAAGTTTGACCTATTGCATTTGAGAAGCCCTCAAGTGGTTGGGGTGGCTGTTTGTTAGAAGTTGACTTAAACGAAGTCTTGCGCCAGCTGCTGTTGTGCCAAAGGTCAATGCAGTTGCGTGGGATCCATTATGTGAGCCGCGGCTTTATAAAAATGCAAGCAGAACGAACCTTGCCTGTGCGATTTTCCATTTAATATTTTATGATTTTCCTTTTTTTTATGTAAGCGGCATAAATCAACGACCTACTGGCAGGCAGGTCAAGCCAATCAGTCTCCAAGGAGCCGTCACATCAAGTCAGTGGCCTGCTAATGACCTTGCCTTATAGACGCGACGCTGCAGTAACTCTGTATGGCTAGGTGGGTGGTCGTGACGGTAAGAGGGAAAGCTGATGCTAAGGCAAAAATAAATAAAGTTCTACAGCGCAAATTGCAAATTGGCAATCGCATTGACGTCAGTGCCAGGCGAACGGTTAACACATTGAGCCATGGTTCCGCCAAACGAGCAATGAGTAATGCGAAATTGGAGGATGAAAAGTGTGAATGAACAAAAGAAAAGTCCACGTTGTGGCATGCAAATGCCGCAGCTCAGCTCCACAGTTATGTGACTTTGATGATTGGCATGTCAGAAAAATGCATTCAACGTGATTGACATTCCAGTCAGTGACAGAGTGAAAGAAGGAGACTAAGCTAACGTGTGACAGAGAATGAGACCTTGTGAGATGCTTAACAAGCTTAGCCCAGTCTCAAGGACAGCTCACGCTGTAAGGCCCTCAAGCTAAAACTAACTGTCAACAACGACGCTTTACTGCGGGATACTCTATAAAGCAGCTTACCTTTAGCTGCAGTTCTAAGCCTTTACAGATTCAGATTTGCCATGACAAAGTGAGTATTCCCAGATAAACTATTCAGACTAGAAAATGCCCTGCAAAATAAGACAAATATTCAAATATTACTGTACAAAGCGAGAAACTTTTACAGAATAAAAAGCGAAGAGAAAGAAGCTTAAGTAGTATGAAAAGAGATCAGGGAACGTCAATAAATATATAAAGAGAACAGAGAAGCTTAAGTAATGTGGAAAGACGAGAGCGAAGCTTAAGCAATATATAAAGAAAAGAGGGACGCTTGAGCAATATATATAGAGAAGATAGAAGCATAAACAATATGGCAAGACGAGCGAGAAACTTAAACTTGAGATTGCTTTGTATATTCACAACTTGGAAACTTTCCGCGATAAATAAGAATTGCTGTCTCCCTCTAGTTGAGGTTGCTAATCGATACTTATCGATTTCGATAAAAGTAATACAAACTATTATATTGCCAAGCACACTATATATATATACTTTTGCAACTATATCAACTCGATACTTTGCACTACAATTTTTATGCTTCATCGGATCGTAGATGCCAGCTATGCCCTGTTGGGCAACTTTAGTATGCAGCATGTTTTATGCACTTTCAAGGATTATCTGCACTGAGCTAGAGGGAAAGAGGGGATTGGGTGGATTGAGAGCTGGTAAATGTTGGGTGTTGTCGAGTTGAAGGCTAACTGCGTGTTAGCCTTGCAGCTGACAATTTTCATTACTGCGCAAAGTTTTTATGCTGCAGCACAAGGCCGAACGGATGCGACCCTCGGTCTATGTGGGCGGATGCGTTGCAATAAAAATAAGAAAACCGCAAATGTCGTGGCACATGTCATGGCTAATCATGTCAAGGCTGCAGTTTCTCTATATTTTCTATTTCTCTCTAGTGGCGAGTCGTGCTGAGCGGCACTTAGCAAAAGCATTGCTGTGGGATTGCAGCTGCAACATTTGCAAACATATACCCCAGTGCCACATGCCACACACCACATGCCACATGCCACATGCCACTTGCCACTCACCAGTTGGTCGTCAATTTTATTTAATGGACACAGACTCCGCGTCTAGCTGGAAGTAAAACGCCAACGCTTTTCAAGTGCTGGCGTCATCAAGGACTCCTGCTAAGGATACTGCCAGCGACGCATCTCAATTGTTTCCAGACACAAGCCAGCCTCCCCCTCGCCCCTGGCCCTAGTTGAACGTTAAAAATAGCCAAAGGCAAAACTGTCATTAACCAAATAAGAATAATATAGAAAAAAAAAAAACACGCTCTTATGAAATCATCCTCTACATCTCATACAAACGAAGACAACAAAAATGAATAAAATGAGGAAAAGCCAACTCCCAATAAGGCCCACGCAATCGAAACATGTTTGCCGAGGCAGAAGGGTTTCTCAGCGATGCTGTGGCCAATTAGCCATTGTTAGATAAATTCACCCCTCCAGCAAAGTAAAAAGCGTAGCTGAACAAAGAATAATGCACGACCATCAAATGCCCAACAACAGCCGAGAGATACACAAATATTAATATTTACAACTACAAACTATGTGTACCTACATATATTCAAGGAGGCAAGGAGTGTGCAACTCGAATATGCATGACATAACGTTTTATTATAAATCGATATTTATCGGTATCTGATCAAAATTTCTATACTCCAACTGCTCTAGCATTATGGTATACAAGCCTTCCGCACATGTCCACTTAACTCCTTCCAATACTTGCTTCAATTAATTGTTTTTGGGGCGAACTGTCCTTAGTCAATATAATCCATCTAATCTGAGCCGTATTCGTTCTCCCATCATCAATATTTAATGCGTTGACAATATAATTTTCCAACAAAACTTTGATGAAATGTGGGTCAGACTATTTAAAAATTTATTCTGACCCAAATCAAGTCAAACTAAATTGCCTTCATTTTATTATGTTGAACTACGTTGAATTCCAAATTGTTTTTCCATGTTTTGATTCATAAATAATAAGCAAATAAGAGTGCATTAGTCGGCAGTGCCCGACTATAAGACATCCTGAACCCTGGGCTAAGATGCTAATCCACTTATTCTACACTTTCTAACAAATAACACATACACACACACACACACACGCACGCTCACCGTTTACGGAGAATTCCCAAAGGATTCATGGTAAAAATATTTCATTATCAGAAAGCTTTACAATTCTGTAATAATTATTTAGAAATCGTGTTCTTTGTTCGAATCATGTTTATGATTCCCGGAAATCAGTCGTCTTTCAAATCATGTTTTAAGTGCCATTAGCTAATGGAACGAGCAAAGCTTAAGCTGGTGAAAAGTTCGCAAGCTTCTTAAAGTCTTTCTGTACTTTTCCACTTCGCCGAGTTGTATAAGCCATCAAAATTAAGAGCACAGCACTGAAAAGAGAAAACAAACAGAAAAACAAGAAACAGGAAGAACAAGAACGATTGCAACAATAACGACAATCTGACAAAAACATATTCTGGCTGCCAGCGAAACGGAAATGACAAACAAGAAACCCAGGAGAAGCGGCGAAAAGCGGGACAAGCGAGAAGAGTGGGCAACAAAACAGAAACGGGAAATATGTCACAATAAGCCACACAATAAAACTCAAATGCAAGCAACTGCGCATAAAGAAGACTTCAAAATGTAAGGCGACAAATGAGGTATCTACCAGATAGCAGAAATATCCTAACAAATTAAGATTCAATTTAAAACGAAGCAAAAATATGTCCAGATTCAAACTTTTGTAGACAAAGCATTGCTTTGAAGACTTTTTTACAATAATCTATCTACAATGTTTACAAGTCTGCTATTTTTACTATATATTCATTATAATGGTATTTAAACTGCCTTTTATCACTGTTATATCTCTTTCTCTATAGATATATAAGTGTGTGTATATCTATCATATTCTCTATATCTTTTCCTTTCTCAGTATCTCCTTTTCATCTTTTTCTTTACATCTCTATCTCTCTCACTATATAATTATCTCGCTCTATATGTCTCTATCTCCTTTTCATATGTCTATTTATCTCTCTCGCTCTCCATCTCTCTTTCACGACCTCTCCATCTTCATCTCACTCCATATTTCCTTCTCACTCTCTCTCTCTCTCACTCTTTTTTTCGCTCTATATAACTATCTATCTCTGTCGCTAGCTCTCTCTTTATATATTCTCTTATTCTCTCTATCTCTCCCTTTCTATCTCACTTTTTCTTTCTCTCACTCTTCTTCGCTCATTTACATGAACTGAATAGCTTGCTTCACTTCTTATGCAGAGTATTTGAATTCGTTGAGTTTCTTGTTCACTTTCTTTAGCTTTGTCCGTGCCTTTGTCTCTTTGTCCCTTTGTGTCCCTGACTGTTTGCTCGTTCGTTTTGTGGTCTCAGTGCAGCACAAAAGTATACTACGTTAAATCAGCTGCACGGCAAATCCTTTAAGAGCTGGACGAATTGCAACTCCGTCTTCTGTCCTCTTCCTCTCTATGTCTCCTTCTATGGCTCGCTGGGCCACTTACTTATGAACTCGAGTGTTGAGGCAACGTCTCTCGGGCGTTGCTATTTCAATTAATTTGACGCTATGCGTCTTGTTTTACATATGTATGTATGTGTACATGAGTGTGTGTGTGTATGTTAGTGGTGTGTGTGTGTGTGCATGTGTGTGTGTATGTGTGTGTGTGTGTATGTGTGTGTGTGTGCGTGTGTGCGTGTGTGCGTGTGTGCGTGTGTGCGTGTGTGCGTGTGTGCGTGTGTGTGTGTGTGCGTGTGTGAGTGTGTGAGTGTGTGTGGGTGTGTGTGTATAAGTGTGTGCTGCCTGGGGTCTTTCGAGTGGTGTGAATGACTTGTTGTTGTTGGTGGCTGGCACGTGCCCAGTTGTGAGCTGTTGGGGCATAAAATCGATAAAAGGCTCGGCAATTGCATTGCGTTATGCTAGCTGATGGTCAAAGACAAGCAGTGCGAAAGAGATAGTGAGACGCACATAGAAAGAAGCGCGAAGAGAAAGAGGCAGCTGAAAAAGCAAAAGCATCGGAGCCAGCCACATCATCAAGGCCACAAAATGTGACAGTCAAGCTGTCAAATCGTATCGCACACACACGAACCACACAAAAGTAACAAGCGCGAAATGTACGATGAGCAAATTCAATTAATGCAAAATGGGCAACAAAAGACTGTATAAAAATTCATTGGAATGTAAAGCCAAAGCCTGAGGCTGAGACAAAAAAAAGACAAACACAATCAAAAGCAAACGCACACACAAAAATGCCCGCATTTAAAGCAAATTGCGCTCAAAACTGTGCTACAAGCGAGAAGGAAGAGAAAGGCAGAATAACGTAAAAGCAAAAACAAAATGAACGCTACTGCGCCGACAGCTGGGACTTCCAGAAATACGCGACGCAGCTGAGGTGGGTTGACAAGGCAAGAGTAACAATGACATACACACAATCACATGAGGCGTACTCACTCACACACGTTTGCACGCTCGTAGCGGGCGTTTGCGTACGCAACAAGGTCACTGGAAAAATCGTTAAGCAGCAGCAGCAGCAGCACTAACAACAGCAATGACAACAACAGCAGCCGCAGCAGCAGCAATGGATGTGTCGATACCTAAGCTGTTGTTGCTATTGTATTATTAATATATTATATATATATATATATAAATATAAATATATATATATATACAGGCACACAAACGACCAAATGCGATTTGATTGGCTTAAAATAAAATAAAAAAGCATAGCACACTTTTGGCACTATTTTACTTACCAGTTCGTCAGACAATTGTTGTTCTCACACAGTTTAATGCGTCAACATTTTATTAGTACAATTGTTGCGCTACATGGACGCAAAGAGTGTATAACAGTAAATCACACGCCATACAAAATGTTACTTAATGAACAGTATAAAAAAAATCAGCAACAACTGTAACAAAAAAGCGCGTTTCACGTTGAAAGCTTAAATGTAATTTATTTTCTACTATTCTTTTTCTTTCCACGGTCAGCGGTTTGCTCAACTGCAGCTCCTGACTAAGAGGCGATTTGCAATTGCCGTTTTAACGTCTATGCTGCGCGCTGTTCGTGGTACAACTGATTACTGTGACTAATAAGCATCCAGGACGCGGTGCCCATTATGTGAGAGAGCGCTCAAACATGTGTGGTGGCATGTGGTGGATTGTGGTGAGTAATGGTGGGCCTGTGTGACCGCATGTTGAAATTCCTATGTACATACATATGTATATATGTATGTGTACGTATCCAATGGCCGTTGGCAGACTGGAAATGCCATGCGCTCCAGTCAGACACTTTTCGCTTAGCCACTTTTCTTTTTTCCATAGCTCATTTGTATGCCGCACTTGTTGGATTCCGCTTCCAGGCACTGCGCATGACTGCTGTCAGCCACGTGCGTTCCAATGCAAAAACAACGGCAATTAAGCTTGGTGTGGGTGAGTGAGTTACTGTGTGTGTGTTGTTGGAATCGAGCGAAAATAGCTGCGACTCAAGCTAAAAAAAAAGCAAAGCCAAATATATGTGACTACATGTGTGCGTATGTTTCTATGTGTTTTACACTCTAGTAATATTTCATATTTTTATATAGATAAAAATAATCTATATATTCACATCTACATATAATTATGAATGTGCGTTGGGACAGTTCTGTTGCAAATAATTCCTGTTGCTATTTTAGATCCACGGAAATTGTGCTTATCTAGAATTATGTTCGATTCATAGAACTTTCACCATTATATTTGGATGTGGCAATTTACTGAATTACTAGCTATAAAAAAGCTATATTGACAGCTCAAGCTATAGAATGACTTTTTGGCTTTTATATGACTATCTCAGAGTTGAAAAGAATCTTGCTATAAAGCTAGAAATTTAAGCTAAAAACAAAACATATATTTTCGATGTTTATTTTGACAACCATTTACAACATGAGTACATAAAATATATATAAATATATATATATATATTAAATATACAATTTACAGTTTAACTGTAAGCAGCATTAAAAAATATAACAACTGAATTGGAAAGGGATGGGATGGGAAATTGTTTTAAATTGGCCAGCCAAGTGCGCGACGAGCTTAAAGCTAAAGAGGAGCTCGCAGGGGCGGCGTCCGCTATAAATGCACATTCTGAAGGGGAAACAAGGGAGGTGTAGGGAGAGTGCGTCACATGGCGGCCATAAGGCACTGAAAATAGCTGCAAAGGTTTTTGCTTTCTTTCTTCTTCTTTCTTTCTTTCTTTGTAAATAAATGCAAGAGAACAGCCTTAACGGTTGATCGTTGGAAGCCTGGAAAAGCATGGCAGCTTGGCAGCCTAGCTTAGTGCAGCAAAAAGAGCGCCGGCTGTTCCAGGTGCTGCTTCCAGACATTGGAAAAACTGGCCATGGTAACACCGTCGATAACACGATGATCCGCCGACCAGCTAACACTCATGATGTGCGCCTTGATCACCTCGTCCTTATCATTAAAGCGCGGCACCGCCTTCATACGACCCATTGCACCAATTGCCACCTGGGGTGCCATGATGCAGGGATGCGTATACGTGCCGCCCACCTGGACAGTTAAGAGATTGGTCAGTTACGTCATATAGTGCAGTTCTATTTATAGATATAAATCACTTACGACGCCAATGTTGGACAACGAGAAGGTGCCATCGGCAAAGTCCGCGGGGCTTAGGGAGCCAGTGCGTCCTCGTTCAACGAGCGCATTCAGATCCTTGGCGATCTGAATAATGCTCTTCGCCTGGCAGTTCTTGATGTTGGGCACGACCAGACCCTGGGGCGTATCGATCGCAACGCTAATGTTATGGACGCCTTTATAGATGATCGACTCGCTGGCCAAATCCAGCGAACTGTTCACAATCGGATACTTGGTCAGGGCAATGCTGGCGGCCTTAATGCAGAACGGCATAAACGTCAGCTTGGGCACGCCCAGCTCTTGGGCAGACGGTTGCAGTTGGTTCCGGAACTTGACCAGATTCGACATATCGATCTCATCGCTGTACGCAAAGTGTGGAATTTTCTGTTAAAAAGAAAAAAATTTAATAATATATATAAAATCAATCCAAGTATTCTCAAAACATCAAATATTAAGATCGATATTTATCAATTTCACATCAATATTTAGTAATCGATATTTATCGAGTGATTGTTTCTAACGCAAGTGTACTCTTTATTTTGAGGCCATGCATCAGAATCGATACTTATCGTTCCGCAGAAAGCTGGAGAGGTGTAGAATATTGAGGAAGGATTCTTGCTGCATAAAATTCAAAAGCAATAACATTCTCTAGCTCAATATATGGTAGCAATGCTATAGAAAGGTAACTGCAATCGATATATATGTTAATCGATAAATATGGCAGATGACAAGGTAGAACCTTAAGTATGTGTCAATAATTAATCAAGTGCATTAGACATTCTGTCAAAATGATAAATTCGATAATCGATATTTATCGACTTGCATAGATTAGGTACAGCCAATGTGAGCTTTAGGTTCAGTCCCTTTCAATGGGTATTACTTACGAGCGATTCCGTCATTGACTTGAGCATGGCCTTGCGAACGCTCTTGAGTTGCTCCACACGATCCGCTGGAGCCGGCACTGGCGGAGCGGCAGCTGGAGCCGGAGCCGGAGCCTTGGCTTGCGCGTTACTGGGGTGAGGCACATTGGTGCCGGGCGGCACTTGACCCAAATACTCGAGCACATCACCCTTGAGCACACGTCCATTCTTGCCCGTAGGCGGCACCTCGGAGAGATTCACTTTATGCTCCTTGGCCAGGCGGCGAACGGCGGGCGTGGCGGGCGTAATATGACGGCCAGCTGGCACTCCACCAGGTGCGGACTCGCTCCCAGCTCCACTGCTGGACTGCACATCACTATCGCTGCTGCTGCTGCTACTGCTGCCATCATCTTCATCCTCCTCCGCATCTACCACCTCAAACTCGAGCAACGGTTTGCCCACCAAAGCCAGCTCATCGATGCTGTGATAGATGCGTGTAATCTTGCCATCGTAGCGACTGGTGATGGTGACCGAAGCCTTGTCCGACTGCACCTCGCACAGATTGTCGAACTGCTCGACGGTGTCGCCCACCTTCACGAACCACTCCTTGACGGTCACCTCGCGTATGCCTTCGCCAATGTCGCTCAGATTGAACGCAATCTTCTTCTCCAAGCGAGTCGTCAGATGCAGGCAGCGTGACACCTGAAAGAAACACAGAGCATAGAGTTATTCAAATGTTATACATTTCAAATACCAAATTCCACGTTTCAATACAAAGTGCAAATTAAGCGTAACACTAAGGAGCGCAACTTGCCTGACTAGCAAATACCCTATATGCATTTAAATAAAGAATTAAAATAAAAAACTATACATAATAAAAAATATATTAGAAATATTTATGCATTTATAATAGAAATATATATATATACACACATTTCCCTATCACCTGTGCACAAACACAATATACTCGACTTCAGAACATATTCAACTGATTGAGCACATCAAATGGTAAAGGCGAGCAGGCATGCGCCCCCTTTCGGTATTAATGCGACAACAGCAAAACAAATCGTACGCGTTCTCCCTCTGCCTCGCGCTTGCTCTGTCGCACCTGTTGCATGTTGTGCGTGAAAAGCATGCTATTTCGTTCGCACGCACACAGTCAACTGGTCAAACCAATTGCCACTTGTTGTTGTGCGAATTCGATTGCATAACAGAACATCGCAGAACTTCGCGACTTTCTCGTTTGTCGTCGCTTTTGCATCTTTCGCAAGAGCAGCCGAATGCAAATTACAGATTTGATAGAAGAAACGGATTTAATCATCATTAATTAATCTTAACTTACAGCGAATGGCATCGAGCGTTGGCAGTTTTTGAGCAGCCAAAATGTGCTGGCATTTCGAAGCAAATGTGTTGCCATGGCCAATTTGGTGAATGTTTTTTGGTATGGCCTGTAATTGTTCAAGAGATATTGAATTCGATTTTGCTTGGCAATTAATTCCGTTATTAATACCTCTAAATGCTGCAAAGTGTGCGAGTCGTCGCGTCAAAACCACTCAACTGCCCCTAATGATCGCCCTTATCAAGCGAATTTCTGGCCGCGAGTTTGTTTTGCATTTGCCAGCTGTTTGCCAGGTGGAGCTGATCGTTGCGCTAGCGCCACCTAGCTTCAAAACGAGTTTCAAATGCTAAACATCGATAGGGAACTCGAATATCGATTGAAGCGTCAACAGCGCGTCAACATCTAGCGACTAACTAATCATAGTGCATCAGTGCTGCCAAAATATTAAAATAAAATAAAAATTAATAGCTAAAAATTTCTTGTGAAAAAACTAGCTAAGAAGAAACTTGTATCAATATTGATATATAGGAATATAGTAGAAAATGTATATGATAATAGCTAATGTCGCAAAATATTATAACAAGCTTTTTTCAATAACTATTTTTTTTTAAATATGCAAAGAGAAAGATAACGAAATAGAAAATACCTTGCTGTAATTTGCATATGGATTTTATTCAAAACAACAATGGCTGGAAATCTAAGTAAATGGCTAAATGGGCAATACTGCAAAGATCTTCAAACTAAACAGATGTTCGTTGCGTTGGCGCCCTCTAGTGGTAATAACAATAGTCCAAATATCGATAGCACCCAACAGCTGTGTCAAACAAAAACAACGTGCTCAACAAGATGGCAAGTCGCAGCGATACATTAACAAATAAATAATTAAATTAATAATATATTAAAATTTCAGACAAATTTACGTAAGGAACTGGAGAAATGCAAACATCCCAACAGCCGTAAAACTAAGGCGCTGGGCAAAAAGGCACGCAGACAGAATAACAAACATAAAGTGCGACTCGGCCATGCGATTAAAAGCAATATAATGGGCGAGAAGCTGAGCTGGTTTCTCGGTCACATTGATGAGGAACGCACTACGCCGCTAAGCCCACAGGAGTTCGAAGAGCTAATTGCACTTTATCTGCAACGATTCGACGAGGAGCTGCAACAAATAGCGCTAAAACAATCGATAGGCAAACATCGCGCCAACCAACACGCAGCTCGCCAAGATGTCATAAAAATAACGCTAGAAAGGGAGCGCAATGAGTACGAGAGCGGCGGCATGGGTGAGAGTAAAACATATATATTACAATATATATCATAACAAATCTTTCTTTTTCAGAATTGCTGAACCTTTGCGATCCGGCCAAATTCAAAATGCTGCACGATTGGGATGGCAGCGCATTGAGTGTTCAGCACTTAAAGCTAGATTTGGTTTCACACAATATGCTGCAGCGGCTTAAGCAGCCAACGGCGACCAGCACCAGCGCGGATCAAATGGAAACACTCTAAAATCGCGATCTTTGTTATATTGATTTCAATAAACATTTAGTTTAGTAGAAGTGAAAAATATACAAATTAGCTAGCTTGTATATCGGTAACAGCTGCGATAGTTGACCTGCATTATGCGCTTATTAACAGTGCTGTCAGTCTTAGCTTCAAAAAAGCTACATATATAAATATATGCAATAATAATTATAGCAGTGATATTGAATCACTTGTAATTACATTAATTTCTTAATATCTATGCAATGCTAACACATCCACCAATATATATACATATACATATATATTTATAGCTTATAAATAATCCATAGCCATGTCCAATATATAATTAGTTTTATATATAGCTTTTCGTGAATAGTTGACTGTTCACTATGAGTTTTGCTAAAAAAAAGAGTACGTCTGAAATTTCACTCACCTTAACATAGTTATAATCAAAATTTGACTATAAAAAAGCTGAGCTATCAACATTGTTGAGCACGTGTGCCGCAACACCGCCTATCGATAGGCAACTAAGCAGCTGTTTGACGTGCGCGTGTGTGTGAACTTGAAATTTGTTATTCGTGTGAATTGTGGTGAAATAAAGTGCACATATATTTTAAATTTAGGTAGGTTTTATTACATAAACAAATACCAGCGCAAACAGAAGTGCAGCCAATTAACTTAAAACCCGCTTTTCTTGTCTTGTGCTAGTCTCCGCGTAAATAACATACACACAATAATGGGCAGCAGTTCATCAAAGGGAGTCGGAGTCGTGGAGACCGCTGCCGCAACGACGGCGTCTAATGCAGCCGCCGCCGGCGGCGACAAACCCAAATGTAAAGCTTGCTGTGCCTGCCCCGAAACGAAGCGCGCACGTGACCAGTGGTAAGTGAAATGCGATGACGCAACAAAATTTAATGTTGCTTTTGCATTTGATTTCTGTTCTAATCAATTTGCATTTGGCAGCATTGTGGAGAACGGCGAGGAGAACTGCACAAAGCTAATTGAGGCGCACAAGCAATGCATGCGAGATGCTGGCTTTAACATCTAAGACCCGGATGCGGGGCCGGTGGAGCACTACTTAGCATAAGACGGCAGGCTCTCCCCACCCACTGGCGCGTTAACTTAAATTAATATCTCTTTTTTTTTCGTTTGTTATATCTCAAGCTAATTATAGTTAATTTAATTTAAAAAGAAATAAGACAAAATTTGTTGAAACCAAATACAAATTTCGCTTTCACTGTTTACATGTAACAACTGCTGAGTCCAGCTGTGACGTCAAAGATTATCGCGCTATTTCCAGCTGGTCCCCCAGCAACTACTGTCGTGCTCCATGTTATCAAGTAGTTAGGTTAAATGAATGAATGTTGGTTCATGATTTGTTTACATGTAAAAGTGAGTCGTGACACGAGCGCTGCATGAAGCCTTGAGTGGCTATTCTTTAACCGTGACATCAGAAACTCGAGCGCTGGTCAATTCATTAGCTGGGTTACCTAAATTGTTTAGTGTAAAACGTTTATTTAAAGCCAATTAAGGATAACGATTTATTATCAACCTTGAAAATCACAGCAGAAACTGTTATCTGGACAATGCTACAGCTGTGACATCATAAAGCACACAGCTTTAACATGTATTACCTTTTATTAAGTTACGCATGAGTATTCTAGAAAAAAAAAACACTTAAAGCTCGACAACCCTAAACCTATTTGTGCTGCCCTGGCCAATATGAATATGTGACGTCAGCGTCCGTAATTTTTTGTGGCGCCACTTTTAAAATATTCGTTGCTTGCTTCGACTACACTTAAATAAAACGCAAAGTACGCAAAGCCACAACGGCAGCCATGTAGAAGGTAATCAGCAGCATCGTGGCAAAGGCCAAAATACGCGATGGCTGCGGCACTGGAAAGAGAGCATAGACGAGTGTGTGGACAATGCGTGCAATGGCAGCCACGCGGAACAGATTGCAGGCCACCAGGGGGTTGGGGTTGGTGCTCACATAGATCAAGGCCATGATGAAATATGGCAAAATATTCTCCATGTCATTGCGATGAGCTCTAAGTGACGAAAGAGAGGGAGAGAGGAAGCTGTCAATATCTTAAATTTGACTATTTTTCATACCCACCTTCGCACGCGTTCCACGTGTGGATCATCGAACTGCACTTCAATGTTCTTGAAAAACAGATCTTCTTCGTTGGGAAAGACCTGAAAAGTGGTGGCAGGCAAATGGAATTATTGGAAGGCGTTCATTGGAATTTTAACCGCTTCTACTAAATACATCGCATTAAAAAGCGTGCAAGCGAGAGGGAAAGTAAATAAATGAACGAGTGAATGAGAGAGTGCGATTGCCAATTTAACAATATGTTGCCAAACAGCTCACGCATATATAGATACATACAAGCATGTGTATGCATTAATATATAAAGTTTTATAATATATGCATACATGTTTGTAAGTATATGTTTATATGCGAACGTTTAGTTTTCAATACGCAAAAAAAATATAATTGCATTCGGTATTTATAGAAACAACGTTGATGAGATGGAGAGCTGGATTGTGAATGGAAATGTCAAGCTTCATAGGAATTGGGTCCCATACACTGCACATTTGTATGGGACAACGATTAGCAGCGACGCTTGATGGATTGTGAATGGCGCGCAGTGCAACTGAAAGCGAAAGCTTAAAAAACAAGCAGAGCAGAACTTGGGTCCCATACACCTTATATTGTATATGATTATTTCACACATGCAGGATTTACCTTGCGCCGCACTGCCAGCGGCACCAGACCCAACAGCTGTGAAATTCAAAATGCGGAATGAGCTGCAGTTGTGTATGTATGTATGTGCGTGTGTGTGGGGCACATCCTGGACTTACCTTGTAGCGGAAACGCTGCAGCGCTGTCAGCAGGGACATGAGCAGCATCTTCACTACCAACACCGTGGCCCAAAAGAGATAGCAACAGAACACAGGATTGTCCAGTGTGAGCAGCTCCATATTGGCCAGCTTATCATGCATCGTATGAGCGGATGTGTTGGACATGGCGAGCGTATATTTTCTGTCTGTGCAGCTAAAACGAACTTTGGCAAGTGATCCAATGTGAAGTTCCAGTTCCAACTTAAGCGGCTCAGCAGCAACTGGTCAAACTGGTTCCAAGCTATATATACGTTAAGTGTGTATGTGTGCGACTAGATAAGCTACTGACTAGGTGACTAGGCAAAACATCAAATGTTAAACGGCTCATAAAACCGACGTCTTCCTCTCGCCTCTCCTCCTCCTCTTCTCTCCACTCTTTAGATATATTTGATAGAACAGATGATCACATAAATCGCCTCGAAGCACACAATGCCAAACGTGATGAAAAAGCAGATCGCTCGCGTCGGCTGTGGCAGCGGCAGCACCGCATAGACAATGGTATGCAGCAGTCGAGCGCTGGCTCCAATGCGTATAAGCATCTTGGCGGTCAGGGGGTGGGGGCTGCAGGCCACATAGGCCAGGGACATTAGCAAAAAGGGCAGCACATTCTCCAAATCGTTGCGATGAGCACTGGAATAAGAGACAGATAGTGTGAGAGAGGGGAAGAGAGTAAATATACATGTAAGAAAAAAAGGGGCCCACACACTTCACTTATGAATAGAACAAATACAATATATTGAGATTATGAATAATAATTGTAATAATCAAATAAAAACAATGAATTATTTTGCTTAATATATTACATATATGAAAGCATATATTGCTCATGATCGACTAAATTTTAGAGCGAAGCTGATCAAGTGCTATTGTGACGTGTGTGGGACACGCTTAATAAGCTGCAAGGCGAGAGTGAAAGTACGTGGCCCACACACTGTACATTAGCATAAGTAAATTAAATGGATTTTCGAGCGTATAATGATAGCAGTAGCAACAAATAACACATTTAACTGCAATTTTTCACTTACCGACGCACTCGCTCCACGTTGGGATCGTTGAAACGGACATCCGTGCATCTGCCAACGCGCAAATCCTCAGGATTGGCAAAGCTTTTTGTTTTTATACGCTGCCTGGCTGTCAACAGAGCCATGAATAGCATTTTAAGAATGAGCAGACTGCTCCAAAATAAATAGCAGCAAAAAACAGGATTCGATTTGCTCAGCAATGGAGCAGCGGACATGTTTTCGTTCTCCATCTTCAACTTGAACTGAACCGTGATGGGCCGTTATAATTCAGGACATATAACGGTAACAGGTGTTCACGTTCACAGCGTGACCCTAATCTGCCTTTGCCCCTGCCTCTGCGTTTGCCCTAATGACAACTCTGACCTGACCCAATATACACGTAAAAACTGATGAATATATCAAACTAGTGTCTTGTTCTCACCTGCATTATTGAACGACTGAAAAGGACAGCACTTAAGTCGAGTTTCACCACAAATCAATTAAAAATTCATTTCGTTTCCTCAACTTTTTGCATTTTTTAAATTGCTAAATGATGTCAGATAGTCAATAAATGAATTAGGTCAATCCATCAGTAAATCAATCAATACAATCAAACTGCAATCTCTTTCTTTCACTTACTGAATACGATCCGGAGATTGGATTGTCGCAACTATACAATTCGTATCAAATTTGTTTATTGCTGCAGTTCAAGAGCAACACAAGCACATGCACACACACCCATGAACATACACACAGACAACAGTTCTAGAATTCGCACATCCAAAAATAAAAGATCAAGGTTGCGTTTAACAAACAACAAAAGACAAAAACAAAATATGAAAAAAGCTTGCGCTAACAGATATGTATATATGCACAGACATGCAAACATACATATTGACATACAGACAAACAGATTATTATAATAGACAAAATCAAGAATTCAAACGGCAACGGAAGCGTCCTAAGAAGAAGCAGCAGAAAAAGAGAAAAGCAACAACAACAAAAAAACAATACGCGCCGAAATTAGCATTGCTTAAACTCAAAGTTCAGCCGGCGAATTAACAGTATATGTACATATGCAGATACATACATTCAAAGATATATGTATGTACACATACATATGTACATATGTATTTATAACTATCAGGGCATATTTTATGCAAAGCTTAGTTAACCGTTTGTCATTGAGCGAACTAAGAGCTGTCAAACACAACAACGACAAAAATGAAATGCAAAAACAAAATTCGCCGCCGTATTTGCCAAGATTTGTGTATGTGTATGCGTGTGAGTGATGGTCAATGTGTCTGTGCAAGTACTTCTGCACTCATGTTGATCTACTGCGTGAGCTGTAGACGCGTGTGGCATGTCAAACTGTACCCCCAAGATGGCAACTAATAGCATGCGTGTGTGTATTTATGTATGTGCAATGTGACGTACGCCAAGAGTTGGTCTTTGCTCTTGTCTAAATTTAGTCAAAGAGTAAAGAGTCTCATGCTTGTTTTTTTGTTTTTTTTTTTTGTTTTTGCTTTTGCTGCTGTCCAACAAATTAAACTTACGCTCCACCACTCATCGAATTTTCTCAACGCTTCGTGGCGACGGCGGCACGTCGCTGTCGCTGCTGCTGCTGCTTCGTCGTCGTCGTCGTCGTCATTAGCCACGCAGACGACGACGCTAGCGGCGACACGTAGAGCGTTCAAAGTCCAACTGTCTGGGTGCTTTTTTTTGTTGCTTCTGCCTTTGTTTTTTTATTTCTCCTTTGGTCTGCTTTATAACGAGTAGCGTTTAACGTTTAAGCAACCCAGACAGGGAGAGAGCGAGATAGAGAGAGGCGTAAAGCTTAAGAGAGTCAGGCAGACATCTCGTGCTAAGGATCATATTTTACAGTGAGTCTAGCCATTTGCAGACCGTAATGTTTGCATGCATCAACATAAACCCAAGTAACTCGAGTTCTAAGCCATATATGAAGTTCAGATTGATGTTAAAAACTGTCTCCGGAATTATACGGCAATTATGAAGGACTCTCTAAGGAAATATGCATGTGATATTATGTACAAATGTGAGAATGCAACTAGAAAGCTTTGCTTTCTATATAATATTTACCCAAGGGAACAAACAAAATCCACAGCTGTTTAACACAGAATGAAATCTAGAGTAATGATAACACCTTTTTCACTAAGAGTCTCTGGTAACTCGAGAATCAGTCAGCATTTGGCATAAAAATTGCACTCATCGTAAATATGTATATCTCAAGTACTTGCCAAGCGATTTCAAAAAGCTTTCAAACATTTCTAAGTCTTCAGCTAACTAAAGATTAAGGTATAAAGCAACAGGGCGTCATTGCTGCGTTACGAGATACTCGCAGCGCTTAAGCACTTAACAGAAACAAAAGAAATAAATAAATCTAAAAAATTCTGTGGTCTGAAGAGGCCCATATATCATCGTATGATAAGAACTGCGCTGTGACAGACATTCAGCATTACGATATAATTAAAAAAAACTTTTCACACAACACAGACGATTATTTAATTTATCAGAATTGAGCGTTGGGTACACACTTGTTTTTTGTTGTTATTAGCAAATGCGATAATGTTTAGAAGAAGAATCAGAGCAAACAATGAGCTAGCCAACGACTCAACCAAATTACGCATGATTAACGTAATGAATGTGGAGTCCGAACAAAGTCCAAATTTATCATCTTTTTATTTTCATTATTTTGTTTTTTTTTTTTTTATTGGATACACACAAGCGCGATTAAAGTGAATTGGGTTAAAAGTAGTACTATATATAGTATATATATTTGTGTGTATATAGGAAAAACCTTGGAAGCGCTACACATGCTGCAACATCTGGTATATAAATTGCAAATGAATACAGCTGCTACTAAACTCTGGACTTTACATACTATGGACTCCATAGTATATGTATATATGTTTATATACATATTTACACATACATATATATGCATGTATATGGCACGATAAGAACGATGAGTGTCAATAACCGACAACGCAATGCTTATTTGAAGCGAATGAGTGCATTTGATATTGGGATGATGTGGTTGGTGTACGACGTAATCCATAGATAATATAACTCAATTACCATCTGGCTTAACAGTTAATGTATACATACATGACAAATATGATGATGCTCTTGGTGAAGAAGAGGGAGCAAATATTATACCACATAAGTTTTTGACTAGTTTGGAATTGAGTAAAGAATGTAGAGATAGATATCCATATTCATATATAGATACTAAAGGGTATTGTCGTATGAAAATCTATCTATATAGATACTACAAATTTTAGTGGTTTTATACTTATCTTAAGAAATTTGTAGACTAGAAAGAATTGACAGTTATAAAAAGTAGATCTTCCGCCAGATTTAACGGATCAAAGTGATATATACAGTCGGTGCACTGTAAGCTAAAATAATTATTTACTAACATTATTTGTGCATGTTTTGATTTACGGTTTGTTTATGTATTATTCGAGACGTCTATAAACCATTACAAGGTACCGGTCTTACATTTTTTAACTGTCTGAATTGATTTACAATGTTGTAAACATTTAATTGGGTACGTAGTTTTGTAAGTGCGATAAGACGCGGCTCAAAGTCGACTGAATGACAAACACTTGGAAGCGCTACAAGCAGAGAGAGAGAGAGTGAGGCCGAGATAGCAAAAGGGAGATAGAGCTAGCTGTATAATCATTAAGATATCGATATCGGTAATAAGCATCGATAATTAGCACCTCGATTGGATTATAGCGCAATCCCCGCTATGATGACAACGCATGTGAGCTGAACTTTGGAACAGTCTGTGATACCTAATGTGGTTTGTGGCCAGACGCAGAGAAAAGTCAGCGAACGGAACTGGGCCACGTACCAGACGCCTGATTGGGCATACTTCACTTATTGGCCAGCGTCTGGAACGGCTTATCTTTGGACCCAGACGGCTTTTAGGCTAGGGCCTCGCATATGGTATACTCATTATGCATGGCATAGTTGTTTGCCAATTCAATTATAATGTCGACTAAATTCGTTGAGCTGATTTTTTAACTTATTTTAGTTGTCATGTCTCGATCAATTTTTAACGTTATAAATTCAAAATTTCGTATATATCCTTTATTCTATGTTAGATAGCTTCTCAAAATGCCAGTTAAATCGATAAGTATCGATTTCCCGTACAAGTATGATAGATATAACGAACAAAAGTTATGCGAAATGCTATTTTATGTAATTCTGAGACACTTTAAATTGATTTTTAAATATCTATAACTGTTTTCGATTTCAGATTATTCGATAAATATCGTAAATATAGGATATTAATATAGGATAACAAATATTGATTATTTCATATGCATATTAGATATGTATCGGCTTCAGATTGCGAAGAAGCCGATTTATACAGGGTATTTATCGGTCGTGCAGCCTCCGGTGTAGCATTTCAACGTGTTGCTGTTCGTTTTTAGCACAAGTCATTTAGTCAGAACCCGTTGTTTGAACTTTGGAACTGCGCTGCAATTACACAGAGCTGAGCAAATATTACGTATACGTACGCTTAGTCCATACATCTGTACATATGTATTTGTGTGTAGGTACAGACGTACTTGTAATGCGCCAGCCATGGCGCCATCTCCGTCTCTGATGACATGATCTTCTATTCTCTTAGTGTTGGTCAAGCGCACTGCGCAGCGTATTATCGCGGCAATACGGTCTAGTATTCGGTGGCGGGTCAAAGGTTATGCATGCACACACACAAATAAGCAAAACAATTGATAATAAATGGTAATATGTACTTTCTATATAGATGTGTGAGGGTAGGGAGAGGGGGTGGTCTGCTCTGCGTGTTAATCTAGTTGTCAAGCATGGCGCGTCCTCTCAACCGTGAGCTCTCCCGCGCTCTCCCTCGCTGCTGTTCTCTTCGTTTCGCTCTCTTTACATGCTCTCATGCGCTCTCTCGCCGACCGCCCGCTTCTGGTTTAAATGTGTTTATTCTCGATCGGTGTGATTCCACTTATGCAAATACCAATGGGAATTGCATGCTGGTTGTATCATGCCCACCTGACTACCCGTCCAGCCTCCCAGACACACCCATTGAAAATGCAAATAAACACTTAATTTGATTACACCAATTTCGAAACGTCATTTTCAAATGTTGAAATTCAATTCAAGTCCAAAGTAACAATACGACACTTACCAACACCGGTTGCATGAGACGTTTGCTGACACTGCGTGCAAGCAGTAGACGACCAAGCATTTATCACGCAATACCTCTCCCAAGTTTAATTTTACAAGACTTTACTAATCGAATGTTTTCTGATTTCAAGCTCTCATCGAAATATAAAGTTAGATTAAGCAATCTTTTGCAATTGAGTTCTTCTGCTCGTTTAATCATTTGTTTGGCTGCTCTCAATTCGCCTGGCAACAGACACAGACTTTCGCCGCCGACTGTCGCTCAAATGCAACATTGCAGTGCAGCTCCGTCAGCAGCGCTGATGTGCCCGCAAGTCCAAAACTCAAAAGCCAGCAAAGAGAGCACGTTGCGCACTCTCCATCTCTGTCTGCTCCTACGTCTCGACCTCTCTTTTGCTCACACGCTTATGATACGTTTTTGGCGCTCGCTTCGATACCGTCGGCGTCGTCGTCGTCTTCTGGAGGAGAGGCCCTCATAATAAACCAGCCGCGCAGCTTGTAAGTCAGTCAGAAACGCGTTGAGTGCGACAGCGAACAGACGTGCCCAGTGTATTAGAGATCGTATATATAAATATATACACACTTCCACAGGTCCCCACACACACATACAGAGCCCCCTTTTCAAGTTCTCTAGCTCGTGGAATTGACACATACACGCACACACACTCAACAACACATATACAATTGTCCGCTTTTTTTCTTTGGTGCCACAAAAGACGAAAAAGTGCCGTGCTAAAGCATAAAATAAAATAAAGAAAAATAAAGTGAAAATTAAGCAAAAAGCGAAAGAAAGAAAAATAGCAAATATTATAAGAAACATGGCAAGTGTAGAGCAAAAAAACGCAACAGGCAACAGCAACGGCAACAACGGTACTATAAAGACGAATAGTACCGCAGTGGCTGAGCCTACTGAGCCGCCAAAGGATGCTAAGGACCTGTTGCCGCATTTGGAGTCGCTAGAGCGCATCATTAAGTTGCCTGTGGTGAATGCAGCTTGGGATAAATCGCAAGATGTCTATGGAAAAGTGAAGGGTAAGTTTATTCGTATTTCAGCAGCTTTTCCCCCATTTGCAGTACATGTCTCCGGCCATGTGTTTAGGCTATGCAAGTGCATTGACCTCCAGCTTAGCTGCCGGTTAACTAACGGCAAATCAATTGCAGTTCGAGTAATTGTAGCCGACTACGAAAAACAGAAGAAACGAAACGAAACAGCATTCAAAAGCAAAAACCAAAACCCCGTTGCTTGAGCACGCCCAAAGCCGCGACTGCGACTGCGACGGCGTCGGCGAGTGCAAAGTTCGCCATTTTGAGTGTGAATATTGCTTGACGAATTCGCCGTGAAGTCGAAACTCGAAAAAATTTAATTGAGCCGGCAAATTGCAATTGGCGATTGCCAAATTGAAGCCAATTAAGCCAATTGAACCAGCAGTCAATAAAACCGCAGCAGCGGCCACATCAACAGCAATAACAACAACAACCATGACCTGCCGTCAAAAGCAGGCGAAATTCTTTCACTCATGACGCTGCTCTTCGGCTGCGTGCAAAGTGCAAAAACAACAAATTTACATAACTTAGCAATTTGTTGCCAGCCCAACATTTTTTTTCTTTCAATTTTTAGTGCGTGTGTGTCTGTGCTTGTGCGCGCTATGAATAACTTAGGAAAGTGCAGTCAGTGGCGTGGCCAACAGGGGGCGCGAACAAAATGTCGCCGTAAACGCTGAACTGTGTGAGTGTGTGCTTGTGAAAGAGAGAGGGAATGAGTAAGTGTGAGTGAGAGTGAATGTATAGTTGGACTTTTGACTTGTTTGCGTTACATTTGATTTCATTCACTGTGCTACCTCTGAGATGAAAAATTGTTGTTGATGACTAAATGGGCAGCAACTATCAAAGTCTAACTAACAGCAAACAGCTAAAAGCTACAACAACAAAATTCTGGCAACTGCGCAGTTGCTTATCAATCAGGCAACGCCGACAACTGGCGATAAGGCAACTCCCGAGGCGACCCGCTGAGTATGGGAATGGGGAGAAGGTGGGGGGAATTGCAGCTGCTTATCAGTCAGGCCAGAGCTCAATTGTCACTGTTTAAAAAGCCTTAAAATATATTTATATATCTATATATTTATATATACATATAATTATTCAGATAGTTTCATAACTTATCTCTTCTTTATCTTCTTCTCTCTCTCTCTCAGGCAAAAATCGCGTCTTCAATTGGGCCTTGAATGCGGCCGAGGATTGCGTTGCACGCGCTGTCACCACAGCCGCGCCCATTGTGAATCGCTTGGATCGCCCCATAGCCTATGTGGATCAGACGCTGGTCAAGGGCATCGAGACGCTGGAGGTGAAGGCGCCCATCATTAAGGACACACCACAGGAGATCTATGCCCAGGCCAAGAACAAGGTCATCGATGTCGTTCAGCCCCATCTGGAGCGCGTTGTTAAATTCAAGGCCGCGGGCCAACAGAAGGCCGCTTCGCTCAAGGATCTCGCCTGGCAGAAGGCCAACGAGGTGCTGGCCACCCAATATGGCAGCCTCGCCGTCAATGGGGTAGACACGACTACAGCTCTGGCTGAGCGTCTCCTCGAATACTATTTCCCCAAATGCGAATCGGATGTCGAGGAGGATAATGGTGAGTAACTCTATAGAATATAGCTAATCTCCAGCTATATCTATATTAGCTGCTAGGCTGTAGATTCCGAGGGGCATTTCCAGGGTATAACTAAAGTGTATATGCAGCAAAGGGAGAGCATATCTCAAGGCAAACAAATACTTCAGCCCAATCTTATCTATAGGAAAACTATGCTTACACTTAAGGCTTAGATAGATCTTTTGAATATTGTTTTTCAATAGAATTCAAAGTGGAGTTAAGTAAATAAAAAATGCGAAATACTTTCGTTGAAGACTCACAGCTTTTCCCCGAATCAGTTTTGAAACCGCATTCAGTTGACACAAATGTTTCTCATGTTTCTCCACTTAAATTTCCTCGCAAACCCTGGAATTGCCAAGAATTCTGATTTAGTGACTTTCCAGTTTCGGGTTCCCCATTTCCCGACCTAAATAAAGCGTAAATATTTTTAATTCTCAGATAAACAAAAAGCTGTCGTGCGAAATGGCAAAACTGCTGAGAATGACAGTAAGTGTGAGCCACACGCCCTATAACTAACCCAAACCTAACCTAACACAAACCTAACACCACCTAAGCCTAACCCTAACCTTAAACCTAACCCTAACTCTAAAGCATGTCTGTTTGCTAACGAAATCAATTCATACTTCAATGATTCCTAGCCTTAGTTCAAGTGGGTCTCTTGTTGCGTAACTCCCTAGGGCAATACCCGATACTACCCGTCCCAGTTCATTAAGAATTTCTCGGAAACTATGCATGCAGTGTTGATTAATTTGCTAAAAACTATGTATTCTCTCTCTCTCCCTTTCTCTCTATGTCTCTATCTATGTTATCTTCGTCTTTTCTCTATCTCTCTCTCTCTCTCTCTCTCTCTCTCTCTCTCTGTCTCTCTGCTCTCTTGTAGTTATTGTTATTGGGGAGCCTGACTATGATCAAGAGATCGACACTAGATTCTTAGTAGCTGCCTCTACGGTATTTTTGTCCATGTCGTTGAAAATCATAACCGAAATTGTTGAATACATTAGAAGAAATCCAGAGATCGTAGGCATTATCGATAGGGAAATCAACAAGCTAATGGTAAGCAAAGCACAATAACAAATACTTTAAATCTAAAACAATTAACAACAAAATAAGTAAAAGCATTTCATACTAAAACTAAACAACTTTTGCTTATAATTCGCAACTAGTTAAAGCCTATTGTTATCTATTGCTCTTTATATTTTGCTTTATTTTTGTCTTCATTCTTATATTTATCTTATCCATCTTTTTTCTCTTTGTCGTTGTAGTGCCAGTTCCCGCCAGCGAGGACCCCGTTTTACACACAGTCCAGACCGTCGGCCGCTTATCCAATAAGATCTCGCGTCGCGTCTATAGAAATGTCTCCAGACAGATCAAACAGGTCCAACAGGGCAACATCAACGACTATTTGAGCTCGCTGATAGCCGCCTTGAAGTTGCATCAATACATCAATTTCATTAACTCATCGATGGGCACAAATGTGGAGCAGTCGACGCTTTCGAGCGACAACTGTACACCCTATGGACCTAGTAGCAGCAACAGCAGCAGCAACAACACTAACAACAGCAACAGCGCCAACAATGCCAAGAGCAAAGTTGCTGTTGCAACGCCATCTAGCGTACAGTAGAAACAAGTGCAGCTGCCAATGGGGTTTTTTTTGTCGGTTTGCTCCGATTTGAATCAGGTTTTTTTGCTAATCAGAAGAAAAAACAAATCTTAACGACCAACCACCCTATTATACGCTTCTCATTTTCTTATGTAGTTTTATATTTTATGCCTCTTTTCTTTGCATATTAACTAATTTTTTTTTTATTTTAAAAAGTGGCTTAAGCACACACACAACATGCACACACACACACAAACAAGCAATTGCTTTGTAAATATTTATTTGAAGTAACACACCTACACAGACACAGACACCTACACACCACACGCACACACACATACACACACATATATACGCATATCGATATAAGTTGTAGCTGTAAAACGTTTTTAAACATTTTTTTTTTAGCTGTGCTAAAACTTTAAGGCGCCACCTGGCGACCATGTGCCACACACATGCATTCAATGAAGAAAAAAACCAATACGAAAACAAAATTCTGATCAGAAATTATACTAGCTATATATGTATAGCATATATTTATATATATATATATATACATTCATGTTTATGTATATTTATATATATAGACAAGACCTCCCCTCCCCTAACCTAAACGTTATACTATTTAATGATAAACAACTGAATTATAGTTTATGTAGCTAGAGCGAGATAGAGAGATCGCTTAATGAAATATTTATAATGCATATATATACATACATATATATGCAATACTGATGTTTTAATTATGCTTAATATATAACATATTCTTAGCTGATGAATTATGCTTTAAATATATGGAAAATTATATACAAATTATATAAATACCTTTTGCTCTAACAAAAAAAAAACAAAAACAACAAAAAAATGCAATTAAAAATGGAAAATAAAAAGTGTGAAAAAAAAAACAAAAGAAATTAATGAATTATGAATTATGAGCGTGAGGCGCAGATAAGTTGATGACGGGGTCTTAAAAACTTATCAGGCAAATGGCATTAAATATCGGTTGAGAGTAACCACTCGACAGATAAACGTTATACGCACGCGTATATCAACTGTTATACTGTTATATACATATGTGTCTGTGTGTGTTTAGAGTTGGGCTTGTGGCCCAATTTTATAATGATTCCGATTTGCTCGAGTTCCTATGAAAGAGTTCTTTTCGCACGATAAGGCGCGCCTAGTTATATTGCTTCCATACATTATATATCTATATATGCATGATCCGTTAGTCAGTTGATATAAATGTTGTACAATTTGATTGATTTATCTTCTAGCACTTTCCATAAAGCCAATCGATATTTCCCATTAAACAGACTCTATATTCCTTTGGAAATATACTGCCTATATAGAGCAATATATCTCTTATGTGGTATTGGATAGAGGAAGCTATCACTATTTGGCAAAGCTCTGACTGTATACCCTATGCCCACATTATATTTAGAATTCTATTTTCGTCTATTTAACTAGTGGAAACTGATTTCTATTTTTGTGCAGCTTTCTCGATACTTAAGTTTTGGATCATAGACTGAAATATTTCCACTGATGTCTTTCGAAATTTCACATCCAGATACATTTGTAAATAGCAAAAGATACTTTTCTATCTTTTTCTATCAATGCACAAATATTCCGATGTCACGCTGCTCAGGCAGATATAGCTTTTAGAGGGAAGCTTCATCTATTTATTTTAAGATTATCTATACCTATATATCTAGCTATCCACCTATCCATCTATACCTAAGGCTATGCTTAGGATTGAGAAGTATCTTGAGCTACTTCGAGTATTGCATTAGAGATATTCTATCTGCTTGTTTGATTGATTGATTGATTGATTGATTCAGCTGTGTAATGCATATACTCGCTTAGAGTGAGTTACTGAATTATCAACTGATTGACTGCTTGATTGATAGACTTAGATGACTGGCTGACTATGATTGGACTGATTCGATGAGCTAGGTGACTGACTGACTGACTGACTGATTCATTGATTCGCATATTCGATGACTGAGATGACTTATTGTTCAATTGACTGATTGCCTGGCTAACTGATTGACTGATTGACTGATTGATTCATTGAGTTGATGACTGACTAATAAATTTATTGAATGATTCACTGAGTTAGACAGCCAACCTATAGATTAATCGTCTGATTGATTGACTGACCAGCTGCTTGATTAACTATCTGTCACGCCATGCTTAATAGCTCATCCATTTGACTTATGTAATGACTAGAACCCATTGATTATTGATTCAGTCCCAATGATTATGTCATTCATAAGCTTGGGATTTGTCGACTGATTGCAATGCCAATCATTTAGAGGGAGAGAGGGATAGAGAGATAGAGAGATATCTCTCTGTACATCTGGATGTACAGACATATAACTGTTTTGAGGATGACGTGCCAGAAGTATTCTGATTTGTGTGCTCTTGTTTGCTCGTGATTAAATTGCACGGTTACGAATCGTTTTCTTATCAGAGACGGAGACTGGCTCACCTGGTGCCAGAGTGCCAATTCAATATGTGAAGTTCAATGGGGACCTATTTATAGAGCGGGGCCTTAGATAGCGCTAGGGCATACAGGCACAGGTCGCATTATCACTGTGTGAATGCCAAGGTATTCGTTATGGCGACTTCTCTCAAGTATTTGGGGAATTTCGATAATGAGCCAAAGCGAAAGATCCGCACAAAAAGCAAAATGCGAAAAATATACGAAAAGTGAATCTCAAGTTCGCTTTCGCTCATTTATATGCCCGCCAGCATCCAAGTTAATTTTTTTGGCCATGGCAGCATAGGCGGGATGCCAATTGGACTCCAGACGAGGGCATTTAAGGATCGGATCAATCAATATGTATGTATGTATGTACTATGCCCAAAACTGACTGAAACTCGCGATCTTCGAACAGAGATTCTTCAGCATGTTGTACAGATCATACACATTCCTGTTGCCCCCAAAGCTGGGTATATGCGTTCCATGATCGAGCATGCCACATCAGGCCATTTACGTAGGGTATTCAATGCTCATGTGGCTTTACCTTTCATTTTTCCCCTTCTTGTTTTCTGTTTAACTATCTTTCCATAAATAAATATGTTTGTTCTATTGAAACTGAGCGCTGAGTGGAGTTAAGTGCTTGGAATTTCTACACCTATCTCCTTATTTTCATGATAAGGCTATATGTGAACTTTGATATGGGTGAATCGGATGGACATAACATATACATATATATTTATATATATGTATATAAATAAATACATGTCATTAATCATTATTGGGTAAAACTGAGCTGTTATACTATTCTAATAGATAAAAAATATAAAAATATATTCAACAAATAATCTAAATAAATTTCTTGAAATTTCTCCATGTTTCTATCGCATTTTCTACTCATATGCATATACTCGTAAGAACACGTAGTAAAGGGTATTGCAAGTGCGACTCACTTTGAGCTTATTTTTGTTTTATTCGCTTGCCTCGCTCGCAGTACTGGTCGAGCGAGTTTCCAGTTGGACTTTACTTTTTGCTTTAAAGCCATAATGATCACGACGATAATGTTGATGAGGCTGGAAACGACCGCAAGATGTGTGTATTTACATAAATATAAATCATACAAAAACAGGGAGCTGTCTGAATGGACTTTGAGCTTAACAGAAAGAGGCTCGCTTTCTGTCTCACTCGCTCTCACAAGCCGCCCTTCCTTGCCTTCGACGTCGCGACGTCAGAATGAAGGCGGAGACCAAAAGAGAAAGAGCGGAAAGGAGAGGAGTTTCCAGTTAGCAACGCAGACGACGCAGATTTCTTATCAGCTACTCATAAAATAAGAATGAAGAAGAAAGGCAAAAAAAAAAACTGAAACATCGAATCTTGGAATACAAGCATACACACTCACGCATACAAACATAAATGTCGACATTGGCAGCAAGAGAACGGGGGATAGAGTAACAGAGAGAGAGAGAATAAAATAGAGCAATTGAAGCTGCGATAAGACATCAGGATGAAGCTGAGTACGTTGGGCGTTAAGCGCAACGGAAGCGGGTGTGGTAAGCTGTCCAACGCAATCAACGTGCCAACTGCGACTGCGACGCGTTGTTGTCGTCGTCTTCGTCTCAAGTGCCAAAGTACAGCAAGTGGCGTGATTATTATTATTCTCTTTATGATTATTATTGCCCACACACCATTTGTGTATATGCGGGTGTGTATGTGTGTGTGTGTGATGTGCTTTTTGCTGTTGTAATTGCTGCACTCAGTCAAACGATAGTGAGCGCCATTTGCCATGCGCGAAATCTGAAATAGCAAAGGCAACAACCAGCGGTGTGTGTTCAGACTAAGCAATCCGTAATTTAGTCATTGCAGCAACCCTGATCGGTTTGGTGGTTGATGTCTAGAATAGCAAAAAAAAATATATTCATATTCTTTAACTTTAGTCGATATAGCTTTGAGAAGTGTGTTGCATCTACTTTCCATTATATGCTTTGAAATATCTAGTATGACTCTCGACTGTCACCCAATGGGGTCTATAGCTTGGTCTTCGTAGCATTTCGACAATGTCATTGGCAATGTTCTGGCAATTGTTGCCAACCAGTTTGTAGTGGAAATGAGATTGGCAACTCAAAACCAGCTGATCCATCGCACATAGCTGCGCTTCAGTGAGAGCTAAGCTTTCAATATGAGATACAAGCGAAACCTGCATTGGATCTCGCTTGGAGTCTTTACGACATCTGACGATTGAATACCCAGGTGTAGAGGCTGGAAAGGGCAGCAACTCACCGAATACAGCGCCATCGGTTGAGATGGCATTGCCTTCGGATACCCCATAACATCGGCGCGTTTCGTTGACAACCGAATCATCTGTCGTAACACAGATGAACAGATGCAACGGCACGATGCACAGCTTACGGCAGACACACAACAGCAGCTCAGCCAAACCGCAGCTGCCAGAAAACTGCCGCTGGCTCAGCCTATAGAAATATTGACTAATTCTACTATTGCCTTTTAAAGGTCGCCAGTGAAATGATATTTGAGCAGCCGCAGCCGATGATGACAAATTCGAATTTGAATTCATTACATTTATTTTTTCCATTTGCATTCTACTTTATTATTCTTATTTTTTCAATTTGATTTTTCTCCTCTTACTATATATACAACATATTAAGGCATTTGGGTTTTCATTGAAATCTTTGGCAGGCACCTCGAACGCTCGAGCGCTCGAACGTTTGACCGTTGCATGAGCCCACAGAAGCTGGAGCTGAAAAATCTACGGTCACAGCAGCTTAACTTTTGATGATTCATTTGTTATTGCAATATTAAAAATTTTTTTAATAAGAAAATGCAAACTTATATGAATTCGAACTTGAGCGAGGTTTGAACCGGGGCCAGCCGGAAGAACGACACACGAGCCGAACGGCTCAGCCAACTACACTATTGCCTGCCAACCATATTGTATGTGATTTGGTGCATAAAAGCTACAACTTGAAGCAATCATCTAGCGTCACAATTGCACAAATGTGCATCTACTTGCCATTAAATGCTTTAAAATATCCGTCAGCACGAACTTTTGGCGTTCTTATGAATGGCAACGTATTTTCAATAAATTACTAAATATTTGAATATTTATTTTATTTATTATGTATATGTTTTTCTTTTGATCTTAGCACATTTCAGACGGTGGATCATTTAAGTAAAACCATTAACTAAATACAGTCGCATAGCACATACATACATATAGCTGTCTATATATGACTTGTCAGTATATAATTTGTATAGATTTATATATATATATATTTTTTTTTATTATGTGTTGACTTAACTAATGTTAATACAGTTGTTTTTCTTTTTTAAATTTAGTTTTAATATTTGATGTTAAATGTGCTTTAAGTCCATTAGCAGCTGCCAATTGTTGTTGATGTTGTTTAGGGTTTGTTTTTCTTCTAGGTATTCAGTGAGGGCGTGCCCAGGTGTCCTTGCACACACATACATATGTATTCATATTGTTAGCAGTTGCTTTTGCAATGTTGTTCAGATTCTCATTTATCACAGACAGCCCTCAAACAGGTGTGTGGGTGCGTAGGTGCGCAGGTGTGTATGTATTAGTACTTATTTCGTTTGTTTTATATCACTTGGCTAAGTGCACCCAGTTTATAAATTGTTACATTTAAAATGCTACGCGAACATAAAACAAATCAATTCTCGTTCGTCTTCGTCTTCTGTTTGTTGTCTTCGTTGTTGTTGTTGCTGTGGCTGTTTTCGGGTTTATGTGGGTTTATGTAAATGGCTAGCTTGCGGGCTAGTTTAAACTTTCAGCATTTTGTTTTTTATGTGCTTTTGGCGCTTCCAACGCTTGACCCCAGCAGCATAGATACATGAATATATATTGTTGCTTCCTCCATACACACACTGTCTCTCTCTCTCTCTCGCTTTCTTTCATTTGCTTTTCGCGCTCTCTTTCTAAGGCTTGGCTGTTTGGGCCAGATTGGTAGATAGGCTGCTGCTGCTGCTGGCCTCTGCCGTTGGCTCTGCGCTGTTTCGCTGCTTGTTGTTGAGCAGCTGCAAAAAGTATTCTCCAAACACAGCGTGATTGTAGGAGACCAAGCGCCGAAAAGATGCAATAAATGCGACTAGCTCCTCGCCAAACTCAGCAAAGCCTGCGGGCGGCGGCGGTATATTCCCATTCGAGCGCAAGGCAACGCGCACAAAGCCGTCCATACGATTGGCTGCAACGGCAAACCATAAAAAGTTAGCAACAAAAGCGTAAAATAGAACTCGGCAAGCCGAATTCGTAGTACTCTTGCTAGCTGAGCAGTGCATATATAATATGTTCCTCAATATCTGTCTCTCTCTCTATATATATAATATAGTATTCCAACGTTAGTGAGATTATTATACATTAGCAAACGTCTAAATATATAGTCGGATCTGTTTATCTAGATAACTACTGTTCCCTATGCCATTACATAGTTATACCATGTAGCTAGAGAGAGACAGAGCAGGCATACACTATGCACACTCATTATGCTATTCGCAAGGATTTAAACAGGACATGGCCAATTACCCATTAGCATGCGCACGGGCGATGTTTTGTTGACCAGCTGCTGGACTTGGCTCTGGATTTGCGTCTCCTGCGACTCGCTCAGCAGCGGCAGTTTCTCCTTCTCCAGCGATTTGTTTATAAACGCGCGAATCTGCTCGTAGCAGTTGTCGATGGCAGCATTTAGCTGACTAAAAGAGACAGAGATAGAAAGAGAGAGCAAGATAAGTGAATGGCTTGGCAACAGTGTGTCTATCTCACTCACTCCGGCTGCTTGACATGTTGAACGAGTATGTCCAGCTGCTTGGCCAGTTGAATGCGATTGTCGCGCCGCTGCGATATGATTGGAACACCCTGTGCAATCGATATGAGCGCAGCGCACAAAATGAGCCGCTGGCAACGCCAGCTGAGACCCTCGAAGCGCTCCTTATCGATGCGCAGCAGCTCGGGAAACTCCTTGTCCGTCGGATAGTTGAGCAGCTGCTTGAATGCATTGTAAATGATTTCCTCGTTGTTGTTGCAGCCGGGGCGAGCACGTTGCAGCCAATCCTCTGTGGCAGGAAAGCCAACTGAAAAACGGAAAGCACAAGAAATTAGTTATGGATCATTACATTTATAGGTCTTCTTAGACCATGTAAGACGAACAGATATTTTTAGATCAAGTAGGACGAAGATATTTTTAGACCAAATAGGACGAACAGATACTTTTAGACTAAGAACGATAAGCTATTTTTAGACCAAGTAGGACTAACAACTTTTTTAGATCAAGTACACAGGTATTTTTAGCTCAAGTATGGCAGTCATTTTTAGATCAAGTCAACTTCAATAAGCTTATCGACCTATGAGCATGGCTACAAACTGTTCCCCCGATACGTATTCTCGCTGACTATGTACAGGGTATACGCACCATTGCCATGAAATTCGCGTAAGAATGTGCTAAACTTTTGCTTCTCATACTCCACAGAATTCGCTGCTATATTATTGCGCGCCGCCGAAACCATAAAGTTGGCCATATCCAGCTTCATCAGCGCCATGGTTTCCAGTATGCCACGGAAGGTATCGATTACATCGTCGATTTCTCGTAGCTTGGCAACCGTCTCATCTCGTGCCGGTGCGCACATGCTGGCCAACAGATTGATCACAAAATTGGCATAGGATCGAAAGTCGAGCGTTCCTCGCTCCGCTTGCTGCCGGATGAGCGCCTCATCTAGTGTTGCATTGATGCGCACCAAGGCGTTCGCATTGTTCGGCGAGAGCAGCTGTGGAAAGTCCTCCTTAATCTCGCCCAGCAACCGAATGGCCTGATCATATGATGGTGGATTACGCTCCAATTGCTCGCGCAATAGATTCCAAAATGCTTTGTGTACCATCGCCTTGATACGACCCTCCAAGCTAGCGGGGATTAAGAAGTTTCAAACAGATTACGTATGTGTGGGAGAGTGGGAGAGATAGTTAGATTACCTGTTCATTGGCGGCTCATATGGCTGCAGCTTAAACTCCGGATTGAGTGCTATTTCATGTGCCAGTTCCATATTCTTGAGATTCTTCAGCATGCCCGCCACCTCGTCCATGGTGACCACTTTTGGAGGACTCCCATCCACGCTGGGCAGCACAAAGCGCATCATGCTGTCAGTCGAGCTTTCGCTATCCGTGCGTAGCTCACTTTCCGACAGCTGCGGCTGCTCCTTGTTATTCTCTTTGGCGTCCATTTTGCTGGTTTTCTCGATGTCCAATTGGAAATGTGTGTTTCTAATTGGTCTGTGTCACGGCTTCAGCTGCTTTGATTGGATTGTTAACGATTGCACACTTTCTCCAACTGCTGTCTTGCAAATGCAAATTTATTTCCAGCTTTTCAGATATAATAGCTGACAATTGTTCGGATTGAATTTTCCAGAATCGTTATCAGTTTTCTAGTTGAATAGATTTGAAGTTTATGTTCGTGTCTGCTGCGATTGGTTTCTTTGTTGCTCTTTTGTTGTCCGATGTTGATGTTGTCGTGCAACTGGTTTTCTGCAAATATGGAATTGAACCGTGTTTTCCTTATTTGATGCAATTACGTCTCAATTTCCGTGTTTGCACAAAGGAAACGCACAAAGACTGCTTTGGCTTTGGCTCAGGGTCAGCTGCGTCTAAGGCTGGCGAAATGCGACGTTAAAACAGAATGCAAGGCAATAACCGTTAAGTGTGTGGCTGAGTGTGTATATGTAAGTGTTAGTGTCTGACAAACACAAAGAAGCAGCAAAAACAGTAACAAAGCAAGCGAACCACTTTGCACACACACACATACACATAGACATGTAGAAAAATCTTTAGCACAGATCAAATATAATATATATATATAAAAGAAAATGTATATATAAGAAAATTTCTTGCGATTTGAATCTGTGGCGCTGACACAGTTTCCAAAATTAACGCGGAAAAGCGAACGAATTGCACAATTGAAAACTGGCAGCGAAAGACTGATATAAACAAAGAAGCGCAAATAAAGCAGCCTATGAAAACAGAAATGAAGAGAATTGGACTATTGCGCAGCAAGCAGCTGTGTGTCTGCATGAATGTGTGTGAGTGTATCTACAAGCATGCATGCGTGTCTGTGTATGTGCATGTGCGTATAATATTGTGAAATGAACACAAGGACGGCGCAGTTGGGTGGTTGGGGACAAGGGATGTCACAATAATTGCAACACTTACAAATACACATACACTCTCGCTAAATACACTAAATGTAAAAAAATTGATTGCTCTAATTAGACTTACCATCAATAGGAACTTAATTGTATAGCTTTATATTTTATTATTTTTTTCTTTAAATTCTTGAATAGCACTTGTACGCTTAATTTAAAGTTATTTTATTTTATTTAACACGTTTCCACAATTTAAAAGCATTTTTTCTGCCCGTACGCTACTCGTGCTTACGACGTCCAAATTGTAATGTGAGTAATAATTTGTTATGAATGTATAAATTTCAATTCGAACTAAGCGCAGGCCACCTTTGTTTGTTGTGCTTGCTTTCTGTTTTGTTGTTGTTAATGCAGTTGTTGTTATTCCCATATGTTCCACAACTTTCGAGAATAAAAGCCAGTATGCAGCTCACGGCATAAAATGGTTAAGCGAAAAATTTCATATATATATATATAGATATAAATTTATATATCAACTTGCTGCTCATATAATTTTTGCAAAAATTATTGTCACTATTTTTCAGGTGACTACGACGCGCACAAGATTCGATGTGACTAGTTTTTACATTAAGTTTATAGAACGCAAAAAATATGTGGATGGCTTGCTTTGTTTGCAGCAGCAGACTCGCCTCGACTGCTAAGTGCTGCCAGACTGTTGGTAGAAAACCAAACAATCTGGCAAAAGTCGAGTGCATAATTTGACGATGTGGCAATACCATTTACTAAACATCAGACACCAGACAGACACACAATAGTATAGAAGAATTTCAGGTTTTTTTCCAGGCTCTAATGTTAATATTATAAAAGCAAACCAACAGCTGTGGTAACAAAGAGACACACACACGCAAACACACATACACATAAATCTGAAGAATAAGAAGTAGAGTGACAACAATTGGCCAAGTGGAGTGTGTTTGTTGTTGATGCCAATCGATGTTGTAGTGCTAAACGCAGTGTGTGTGCAACGCCTCCCGCCCATCCCCTCCATCCTACCCACTCATAGCCCTGATTTTGAATCACAATGGAAAGTGAGAAGATTTTGATGGCTGCCGGTGTGACGGTGGCTGCTGTTGTGGGCGCATTTGTCTTTTGGGGCCCGTCGGGTAAGCTATGTTTGGTTTCGTTTTACTGCTGTTGTGCAACACTGGCTGCATTTATTTACACTAATTGCCCCATTTCTGTTTCCCATTGCCAGGGTCTCGTTTACGTCAGCGACGCGGCCAAATTGCTGGACTACACAATTTTGGTCGCACATGTTTCCTTAATACGCTGCTTCAGGCTCTGGCTGCGTGTCCACAGTTTATTGCCTGGCTGCAGTTGTACAATGGCGCCACGCCTGATCGCAAGAGCTTGATCAGTTCCATGCTAAGCACTTTGGAGGTGGTAAATGGTACGCATGCGACGCTGCGCGGCGATCCTCACTCACCAGGCGCTGTGCTGCGCGCCTTGAATACACTAGGCTGGGTAATACCACAGGAGGAGCACGATGCACATGAGCTATTCCATGTGCTGCTCTCATCACTGGAGGAGGAGGCCACAAGGCCACAGCAGGTGGGTTGCTTGTCGGATGCCTTGCTGCCAGTCACAGCAAGGAATCAACTGAATCTTGGCAACGATAATGGCGATGGCTTGGATTTGGTCACAGGAGCTGCCACAGCTGCAGCTGCTGCCTATCGCACTTGCAACATGGCTGGCCAACGCATTGGCGATCAGCCCAACCGACCATCCAGTGCCATGCTAACAGATTTCCTTAACATGGAATACGATGAAGCGACCAGCTTACAGCGTTTGGTCCGTTCCGAGGCTCACACACCCGACTCACCAGCCTCAGTTTGTGAACGTGAGACGTCGGAAATTATGACGCCAGCAGGTGCTGCTGCTGCTGGCGCCTCCAGCTTTCTGCCATTCGGCTATGGTTTGGATTTTGAGACACAAGCGGAGCCATTGAATGTTTCGCCAATACTGGGCAACGAACGTCTCTCGCGTCCACGCCTTCCGCAACAGCAACAGCTGCAGCAGCAGCAGCAACAACAGCAACAAGGCGAGGGCCTTAATCGACGCGTTTCGAGCTCCTGCCGCTCGCTGGAGCGTCTGAATCGCGGACCTGGCCGTGTCTCGATTTGGTCAAGCATGATGCCCAGCCAGGTAGCGCATCCGTTTCAAGGTGCAATGGGCGCCCAAATCGTCTGCAATGGCTGCGGCTCCAAGTCCGCTGTGCGCTACGATAAGTTCGATAGCATTACCCTAAATCTGCCCACACAGCGGCGCTCCGGCTTGAGCTTGGGTCACTTACTCAGCGAGTATATTACCTCCGAGGATCTAAGCGATGTCAAATGCGATTCGTGCAATGAGACAACGATGCACACGAAGTCTGTGACGTTTGCCAAGTTACCCGCTTGCCTGTGCATTCACATTGCACGCACCGTTTGGCTGCCCACCGGGCAGGTGTGCAAGCGACAGGATTACGTGCACTTTCCTGAGAGTTTGTCGATGGCACCATATAGCTTTGTGCAGCCACATCTAAATAGCCAGGTGAGATTTACCGCAATTGAATTTTCTTGTCACTCGTTTGAATACATCTTTCATTTCACTCCTTTCAGGCGGGCACACCTTGGGGTTCGACCATGTCGCTGTATTCCTCCAGCCTGCCCATGAACAATGGCAGCGGCGCTGGCGGCGAGGGTTTCGGTGCGATGTTCCCGAAAAATCTTTATCGGCTGCTCGCTGTGGTCGTGCATTCCGGCGAGGCGAACAGTGGACACTTTGTGACCTATCGACGCGGCTCGTTGCGCAATGCCCATCGGTAAATAACAGTTGTATATAAATATATCCATTTCCTTTAAGTGTTCCCATTAACAGCTGGTTCTACACATCGGACACCATTGTACGCGAGGTGTCCATTGACGAGGTTCTTAGTGTGCCGGCATATTTATTATTCTACGATCGTGGCCAGCGACGTTGAACACCGAACGCAGACCAAGTCGCAATCCTAATCTCCAAAGCCCCCAAAGAACCAGCTCGTCGGCCTAGTCATTTCTTCACTATAAATACCTTCTCAACGTTGTGATGAAAATTCAAATTATTATACCCTATAATAATCGAACGGTGGCCATAGCAGACAGCTCCAAAAAAAAAAAAAAACAAAACAAAAAAAAGCAAAATAACAAAACAAGGAACAAAAAGAAATCAAAACACGGAACTGCGAAAAAAACGGTCTCAGCAAGCACCAAAAAATCACTCACACGCCTGCGCAGGTGTTTCCCCATCATACATACATACATTAACATATATATACTTTTGTTACATTATTGCATTTAAAAATTTAAAAATTGAATTGAAAATTCATGATATGTGCTTTTTAGATGTCTGTATTAAGCGATATAGATCAAGAACAAAAAACTAATGCTAGGGGTATTACCGCGAGCATAAATTTATAATTTTATCTGTTCTTTTTTTAAAGACGTTTGTTCAAAACTTTTTATATATATATGAATATATATGTACTTCCCGCTCTTTAGGCGTCAAGCGTCAAGCGATACGAAATAATCGATTGGCATATGCATTTATCGGTACAGTGTCTATATACAAGCGAATACCCTTGGCCTTTCCCAATAATAGCTATTTATGTAAATGATAGATCAACCCAATTGCCCAAACAATAATAATCTACGTTAAACGCCATATTAATAAAGTTCGGATAGATATTTACAATTCAATAGTTTTTATTTGCATTTTATAGTTAATTTGTGATGATCTATGATCATTTTTGCTGTTTTACCAATTCGATTCGCGCCTCTCAGTTTAAATTTAACAGTGAAATTGGAGCTTAACATACTGTTACTGAACTGAAATGTTCAATGGCGCAATGCTGCTTTAGTCAAAAAAAAAAAAAAAAAAAAAAAACATTTTAATATATTCTAATATTATGTATATGTTGTGTTAATATGTATACAATTATTTTTTACTTATCAAAATTTTAAATATTTTCAGTCGTTTTTAAGCATACTTTTTCAACATACTAAATTACGATAAGAAAAATAACTGACCGTAATTCAAATTTAACAGTTTAACATAATCATTTCACATGCTTTAGCCAAAAAGCAACATTGATATATATGCCACATTGTATATTATTTGGTGATATAAGATTTAATTAGAAATTGCGCAATTAAAATACAGTGTACATTTGTAATTGCCAATGTTTTAATGTTCGTTTAAAATGAATCTATGTTATCCATCTTAATATCGGCTATCGAAAAATGTTAAAGTGCACAAATTTTTGATGGTGTGTACACACTGACGCTGTGCGTTTGCCATTGCGTACCCGTTCGCAGTTGTGTACAATTCGAAATTCGAAAGCTATGTGGAACAATGTCAAGCAATAATAGTACGAATCGTAAACAACATAATGATAGAAAATTACAGCATACCTCGCGCATTACGCCCAAAATAAGAGAATATCTGGCGGAGCTAGCCAAGGACCGGGAATCGATGCTGGAACGCTTCATGGCGTTCTCATCAACCACTTCACCAGCGAGCAGCAACGTCAGCGTCGGCGCGCCCAGTAACCAATGCCGCAGCCGCAGTCGTAGCAGCAGCATGGGGGTTGCAACAACAGCTGCCTGCGCAGCTGCCTTGGCCAGCATTCGAAAGCGAAAGGAATGCGGCTCCTCAGCTGAACAAGTCAAACAGATACCCATTGCCATGGAGACCATCGCATCATGTGGAAAACGAACTGTATCCGCTTCAGTAGAGGATCTGCGCACACCGACCAAGGGCACGCAGACGCAGACGCCTCAGTTGCAAACGCGCAAAACTCAAACACCGGAATCGGCGCTCAAGTCTCACAAGCGTCTCGAATGGGATCCCGCTGCTGATGTGGGCTATCGCTATGGGCGTGCTATCTCCGCCAGTAATATTAGCACATTGGAGCGTTCTGTGTTGGAGGCAGCCATACAGCCTGCTGCGCAGTCGGAAAGGGGAGAACGACCTAATCACTCGGAATCCGATTTGAATCGGTTGCAGCAGAAGGAGCAACGAGAACAGAAGCCACAAACGCAAGCTGCCCCGCTCGCCTCCAGCACCTTTGTCCAGGGCAGTCGTATTTACAGTCAGCCACAGACAACGTCTATAGCGACGCCCGCGTCCACAGTTACGCCCGTGCCCAGCCAGGGTTCGCGTAGAGAGAGCTGCGCCACCTCTGCCGTGAGCAGCTTTGACTATCAACACAATTCACGTCCCTCGACCAGTCAGAGCAACAGCCGAAGCCGCAGTCGCAGCCGAAGCCTCAGCGCCGAGGAGCTGCTGCGGCATGTAGAGCAGCAGCGTCAAGAGCGGGAATATGCAGCGCAGCTGGAGCAGGTGCTGTGCAAGCGTCGGCAAACGAATAAGGAGAAGAGGGAAAACAAGGAGAACAAACACAGCAAGGAGAACAAGGAGAACCAACAGCCACAGCCACAGCCACAGTCACAGCAGCAGCAGCACAGCCAATCGAGCTGCTACTCCTCGAGCACCTCTAGCTCGCCCGCTAAATGCGATGTAGATCTGGGTATCGATTTGCTCTGCTCGCTGGTTCACAAGCGCAGTCTTAGCTATGGCCAAAAGAAGCAACTCATCCGGGATATAGCCAAGCGGTTAGCCTGCCTCGATCTGGTGGCCAGCAGCAGCAGCAGCATCAACAGTCGAGCGGACAGCAAGCGAAGTCAGCACAAGGAGGCGCTTCTCAAAGAGAAGCAGAGAATGGATAAATCTATGGCTGAATGTGCAGGTATGATACGTTTCTCATGCAATGGAGCTGACATTGATATATGCTATACTCCCTTTGTCTACAGATACGTTGCGCCAAAGCCAGAACCGTAGCAAGGATATTGCCACCAATACAAGTGAAATCAATTTGCCGAAGCTCGAAGTGCCTGCAACGACTTCAGCTGCTGCACCTATTCTTATTGCAGTTCCTACTGCTACGACAACTGCAACGCCTACTCCAGTCTCTGTGGTTGTTCCCGTGCCGGCGCCTCGCACTCGCCTGGCCGCGCCAATGCATTCCCCAAATCCCTGCAGCTATACATCCACTAGTAGCGGCGCCTCCAATGAGCTGGTCACGCAAAAGACAAACATTCAAATGAAATACACCGACGAAGCTGTCGCTGAGCAGGCAGCCATGCAGGAGTGGTTGAATCCTATGACTCAGAGCGAGATTGAGTACGAGGAGAAGCGACAGCAACGCGTCCACCTGGACACAGAGCGACGCACGCAGCTTAATTGGATCGATTCGGAAATCCTGCGCCTACGCACGCTGCAGAATCTATTAACCAACGCTGCCAGGGGCGTGATCCCAACCACAACTGGGACCAAGAGTGTGTCTATACCCATTCAGCTGGAGGAAGGCAATGGTCAAATGCCCAATGCACTGAATCAATTGAAGGCTGTGGATTCAGCGGAACCAACAGCAGCACCACCTGCCACGCCCATTTTAACGCCTCCCTTAATCCTTGTCGGTGCAGCGGCTGCACCGCCTCCGCCGCCGCCACCTCCGCCGCCGCCTGCTCGTGTGTCTTCCACCAAGCAGCTACAGCTACCGCGCAGCAAGATGGCCACACCCTCTGCGCTTAGCCAGCAGTCGGGCAGCAGCGAAAGCGTCTGCTCCTTTGTCCAGCAGCGACGGCGCCAGTTCATGGCCCACTATCAAAATCAGCAGCAGCAACGCCTCGAGCAACAACAGCAGCAGCAGCAACAGCAGCTTTTTATGCGACAGCAGCAACAGCAGCAGCATCAAGTCATCTATCGACAGCAGCAACATCATCATGCCACATGCCACATGGTAAGATCTAATGGCTATGTAGAGTAGAGTGGAACTATGCAGGGAGTTTTGCTAATGCAAAGTGAGGAGAGAGTTAAAAAGAGAACTAGAGAGAGAGAGAGAGAGACATATTTCAGTATTAAACATTTACTTGCTTAAGAAATTACAGATAAGCAGAAGAGAGAGAGAGAGAGAGGTATAGCGGATGAGAGAGAGAAAGCTTACACTTAAAATAGAAATTAATTCAAACTGATCTTAAATTAGATTAATTAACATTACAGAGATAAAGAGGTGAATTGAAAGAGTAAGAAAAAGAGTGAGAAAGTTAGAGATAAAGTGAGAGAGAGAGAGAGGAGTGAAAGTGAAAGTGACCAAGGCTTAACAAAACTGATATGGATTCGGGTCCCAGACTAGATTGTACTTCAGACCTTCATAACTCTATGACAAGCCTCACTTTGTTATATACACGTATATACCTTATCAAAGCCGTATCACTGTCGTTTCTTTGCGTTAACAGTTCAGAAACCTATCTAACCTATCTATCTGTCTTTGTTTCACAGCATCAATGCACGCATCAGATGCAGCTGAAACCATGCCAACAATGTCAGCAACAACATCAAGGACAACAACAACATCAGCAAAAGCAATACCAAAAACAAATTGAAGAACAACAACAACACCAATATATGGAAATGCAATACGCTCAGACTGTTGGCAATGTCTATGGCTGCCTGGATGAGGGTGCCACCTACTATCACGTGGTCAACTCACTTAATGCGCCCTGTCCCGTGCGCAAATCGACAGCAACAGCAACAGCAACGGCGGGAGCGACAGCAGCAGCAGCAACAACTGCTGGAACTAGCAACTGCACGACTAAGAGCTCCACCTCGTCCATGCTGTGCATCAGCTCGGAGATGTCTATACCGCTGAGCCTGGCGAATACATGTGAGGCGACAACGACAACAACAACCACAACAACGCATCAGTATGACGATGTGGCTTGCCACCAGCAGATGCAGCTACGCCAGTGTCGAAGCCAAACGCAGCGAGGCTACAGTTCCAGCGAGCAGAGCCGAAAGCAGCCGAAGGTGGAGCAGCGGCCATGCCAGCATACGATTCAAGTGCGACCTCGTAGCATTGCCTACGTCATACAATTCAGCTCGAAAGAGGACTCCGGTCAAATACTGCCGGAGACACTGTCCTTGCAAGATTATCTGCAACGTGCTCGTCCGCTCTTCTGCGCCCAGTCCAAGCAGCGCAAGGCGATTCTCAATGAGATGCAGCTGCTGCGCAATGCGCGGCGCAAAGAACTCGAGCAGCTCATCGAGTGTGGCAGTATTGAGTCGCTGGACAAGCGACTGCAGCAGCTGCCACCGCCTGTCACCTGTATGTGCCTTTGCATTGCCTTTGACACGTGACTTGACTTTTTAATCATGTTTCCATATTCATTCCTTGCAGCTCGCGTTCGCATCTTTTCCACGCGCGAGATGAAGGCGTTGACCAGCAAACGCTGCGAGAACCTGCCCGAGGTTATTGCTGCCCAAAATCGCGAATGCGAGGAGCGTCGTCGTCGCAGCAATCGCATACTGCGTGACGTCTTCAATCGGGTATGCCAAACTGCACACATGCTTACCACAGACTCTCAGATTCTATTTGCATTTCCTTTTCACAGCGTTTGCAGCGTCGCGTGCGCCGTGGCAAGCTCACTCTCAATCACAGCCGCACCGTCATCTAGTGACAGTGAAAGAAACGCATTCAGCCAGTGCCAGTTACAAAATATAGATAAAACTCAGCCATATATAATGATCCCATTGTTTCGATCGAAAAGTAGTTTTATATGCATGTTGAAGCCTCTACCTCAAATCGATTTTATTTTTTAGTTAAATTTTTATATATGTATATACATATATATATACTTTTTTTCTTGTGTTTTGAGAATCTTTTATATTTATTAGAATTTGAACTTTATTTTTTTTGACCAATAAATAATTGCATTTGGTTTCAGAGAGAATTAAATAAAGTATATATTGAAAATCTTAAAATGTTGTATAATAAAATTGAGAACAGTTTAAGTGTATATAATTTATTAAAAACATGAATTCTGATTCGATAAAATCGAACCATTGAAAAACGTTGTGTGCCAAAAATCGGCTTAGATTTTGGGAAAGTTATGTGATTTGGAAGTAAAGCTTCCAAAACCATTTTATTTGATCAACTTTAACAACGTATCTAAATGACTTTCATTGAAGATTATACATATTTAAAAAGAAATTCATAAATTTGGTATATAATAATTTTTTTTTTCAAAAATTCAAAAATCTTTTTCAAATTTGATTTTGAATATAGAATCAATCTAGAGCATTAGTAAAGGTGGGTTAGTGATTAGAGGAGAATTTGAGATATAGAAATTGCTATGTATGTAAGTGTGCGTGGCTTTTTGGTAGGTAGTGTAATTGTTCGAGTTGTGTTATTTTAAGTGAGATGATATGGGAGAGATGTGAGATGTTAGATGTTAGGGAATCTGCTCAGGGATGCTTGACTTCAATTTGACAAGCTTAACTAGTCCAAGTTTTGGGATTAAAGAAAGTTTATATCGGAATTTTCCCATTTTAAATCTTAGAAAATGTTGGAAATTCACTGCTCAACTCGACGTAATTCTCAGTTGTGCGTTAAAAAATTGTTTTAGCTGATAAATAAGGGGAAAGCGAAATTTCGTTTTTTTATTGGATTTTATTGATTTAAGTGTATAACATTGGCGATTAACAATATTGCGTATTAATTGTAATATGTAATTAATTTAAACTCTTTGCAAGCTAAACAACTTTTCATTTCCTAAATATGTTTTTGGTGTTCTCTATTCGAAGGAAAATTCTTAAGATTAACAAGATAGAAATTTTTAGTTAACAACAAAATGGAAAAACAATCAAATAATATTAATTAACAAATTTAATGCAGCTACAAAATGCATATTATTTATAGGTGTTTATCGTTTATCGAGATATAAGTGTCGACAGTAAGTACAATTTAAATATATGTATAATATACATATATATATGCATATATGTATATGTATGTATTTATATATAAATAGGATTATGTTAATTGTAATACCAGCCGCTATGCCAAATCAGGTCACAGGTCTCACATTTCTGTTTTGCTACAGATCGAAGTACAGTGGAAGGTTGTTCTTTAATTTCTGCTTTTGGATTCGTCGATTTGTCGCTTTTGAAGGTTAGGAACGTTTTGGAATTGGAACTGGAATCGATTAGTGGACTGGACCAACAAAACAATGCGAAGCAGTTAAAGTCGGTTATGCGTCTGTGAGGATTATTTTTGATTAAATAACTTTTGCATACAGATCGGGAATATATATATAATTTACTATATATATATATATATACATATATATATATATATATAGATAAATATGTTAACAACGCGTTAGTATATCGGCGAAAACTGTTTACTTAAATGCTAATAATTGAGATTGCACATAAATTAGACGAGCTTCGATCTCACTCACTCGATCGCTCGCTTGATCAACTTATTTGCGCGCTACCATATCCAAGCCGCCTTCCTCCTCCATCTTCGATAAGAATTTGATGGCCCGCTGCGAGGGTTCCGTCTGCCTGGCCATGTCGATGAGGCCTAAAAGCTTCTTGATGCCAATGAAGACTCTGTGGACATTTGGTAAGTATATCAGTTAAGTTATTTCAAATAAGCCAAATCCTTATCTACGTACCGCTTGCCAGCCATCTTCTTGCCAATGGCTTGCAGTTCGCCCTTGCTAAAGATGTCCGTGTCCTCGAGAACGGAGATGACATGCTCCGGACTGGATAGATTGGGCACATGCAGCACCGCTGTGAAGGCCGAGAGCATTTCCATTTCCTCCAATACTTCACTGTAAGTCGAATAGGTGAGGATTAGTGAAAGTTTTGTTATAGGGGAATTAAACTAATTACCGTCTGCTGGAGGTGCAGAGAATGAGAAGCTTGCGTCCCTTGGGTGGCTGCTTTTTGAGCAGCACAAGCAAAGCCTGCAGCGTTAGATTCGAGTATCTGGGTCCAATGGGTCCATAGTCTAGCAGACGTTCCACATTATCAACGACAATGCAGCTGAGTGTGGAGCGATAGGCATCATCGAATATCTTGCGAATGTGCAAGCATTTGGCCGACTCCGTATAGCCGACCATATCCTCCGGCGAGCAGACCTTGACAAACGGAAAATCTGACATCTTGGCCAGTTGGGCGGCCAAGGCGGTCTTTCCGGAGTTTGGAGCACCGGCCACGAGAACAGAGACAAGTCCACTCGATTCGGGAGCCTTGGCCTGCTGGACATAGAGCATGCCATCCTCTAGCAGATTGCTAACTGGTTGACCCCAGTTGACGACGCCGCGTGCCAGCATATTATCGAGTATCTCTTGGGCGGTGCCGAACGCTGGCTTAATATCATGTTCCAATGAATGAAGGAAATCATCACGATTCACTTTCAATTTCTCCATGGCCTCCGGGTCGACGGTGACCTTGGCGTCGGCCTTGATCAAACGATTCATTGCACTCGATTGAGCGGCCCGCACTAGACCCTCGAGCTCTGCACCGCTAAAGTTCTTGGTGAGCGCTGCGATCTCCTTGCAGTCGACATCGTCGTTGATCTTGTTGAAGTCTCGCATGCGTTTCGTATGTATGTTCAATATCTGAACGCGTCCCTGCTCGTTGGGCAAACTGATCTCCATTTGGACTTCCAAGCGACCTGGTCGCAGCAGCGCCTCATCGATCATGTCCCGTCGATTGGTCATGCCAATCACCAAGATATTATTCAATTGATCCACACCATCGATCTTGGTCAGCAGCTGATTGACGACGGTGTCGTGGACACCGCTGTTGCCAGCCACGGAACCACGCTGCTTGCAAATGGCATCGATCTCATCGAAGATGATGATATGCAGTCCACTGTTCGGACCCAGACGCTTCTCTTCCTCCTCTGCCTCGGCGAATAGCCGTCGCACATTCGCTTCCGATTCACCCACATATTTGTCCAATATCTGTGGTCCATTCACGATCTTCGGTTCACGTGCGTTCAACATAGTTCCAATTTGACGAGCCATCAGGGTCTTGCCCGTGCCAGGAGGTCCGTAAAGCAAGATGCCCTTCACATGCTTGCAGCCCAGCTGCTCCACCAGCTCTGGTGGAAAGACACGCGAGGCAAATGCGCGACGAAAGATCGCATTGAACTCATTGTCCAAGCCACCGATGCCCATTTTGCCAAAATCCCAATCAGGATTGATAATGGATTGACGCACCACCTTGCCCTTCGATTTGCCCTGCAGATTGAGTGAGCTATTCTCTGCCTTCTCGAACTGCACCACCGTGTTGCCCAAGATACGACCGAAACGGACATTACGCATCGCTGGCTCCTTGCCCTCGCCCAGACTCTTTGGATCGATGGCCTCCAGCATCTTGACGGCCAGGCCGAGTAGCTTCTTGTCCTTGAAATTGAAGACCAACGATTGGCCAACAGTCAAGGCCATGCCAGCGAATTGCATAATAAACTCCTTGGCCATCTGATCTGAGTCATACGGCTCCTGCGAAACGCTGTGAGAGGAATTGAGTGGCGAGTGAGATAGAGAGATGGAGGGGCTCTATGTTACATATATGTTGGTCAAAGGATCTAAAATGCTAGTAGAGATAGTTTTCTCGTTTTTATTTTGGAGATTCTTATGCTTTCTATCTTCTTGGTAACAATTTCTTTTGCGTCAGTTTTTTGTAGAAAATGTAGAATGTAGAAAATATGTGATCTAATTTCAATCAAATTCTCACAATTCTATTCGCTCTGATCATACATATCCTGTCTTTACCTCTACTAACTTCATTGATTTACTTAAAATACATCATCATCTAATTGATTCTAACAAGGCACTCATGTTTTAAATTAACTTACGAATTTTCATAGTCTCATTATCCTTACAGATTCTCACCTGAAACCTAACCTAACTCTTCTACTAACTAGCTAATTACTTTATTCAAGTTTTCTCTATTGTCATCGAATCGTTGTATCGAAATAACCCCAGTTTCTTCGAAGCTAGGTTCACTGTAGATATTAGTAGAAATTCAATGTATATATTATATATAATTTTCTATTCGATTTTCATTTTAATTTAACTTAACCACACATTTTTGTTAAATAATAATAAAAAAAATAGCTAGATTTTCAGCATTTGCACACTTACGTCTTCTTTTGCAAAAAATCCGTTTCAAAGGATACAGATGTTATGACATCGGAGCTGGCGTCGAAGCGATACGGGCGCACCTCTAGCTCTTGGTTGATCGAAAGCATCGCCCACTTTCGCTGGACAAGAGAGAAGCCAACGTAACCCCTGGGCACTTCCATTGTCTTCTCCAGAGCGAATATAAAATGTTGACCCGCTGCTGGTGAAATATCTGCATACCTGAAGGATGGATTGATATGTATTAATGTAAATATATATATGGAAGAGATGTTGAAGACATACTTCACATCATCTGGAAAATCGCCCACATTGACAATCGCTCGATTAGTGAGGGATAATTCGTCCGTGGGACACTTTGTAGCCTTCAAACGCTACAAATATTAATATATATTTATGTAAGAAATTGAAGAGATTATATATTATAACACATAACTCACATAAGACATTTTTGCTGCCTGGTTATATGCTGGGGGGTTGTTTCTGTTTACAGCCTCAGCCTCAGCTTGTATTTTTTTATTGATTCAAGTTTTTAAATTTCACAATTGAAAGTTTATTTTGTGTTTTGCTCGATTGGACACAATATTGTTTTTTTTATGCTTAACTCTTATTTGTACCTTGATTAAGCTGCATTGCTTGTTTGCTGCACATTAAACTGGCACCTATTTTATTTAATTGATTTCTTTCCAAAATTTTGCTGCGCAGCTTAAAAAATGCGCCGCGGCACCTGCCAACGCATTCAAAAAACAATGAAACCAGTTGGCAGGCCAATCAGCTGTTGGGTTGGCAGAGCTGTTAATATGTTGCGTTGTTATTGTTACCGTAGATTTCGGACGTTACGCACGTGTGCGGATAACGAATAATTTTTGTTTTTTTTTTTTAAATTATATGTTATATAAAACAATAACAAATTGGGTTTTTTCTGTTATTTGCCAGCTGAAAAAAGTTCAAGTGAAGCGTCAAAAAAAAAAACAAAAAAAAAAAAAAAATTAATATAACAGAAATAAACAACAATTATTGCAAGTGCATAATAACAATAATAATTGTTGCTGTTAACGCTGTCGTCAACGTCGCCGCGCTGAAATTCTACCGCAGCTTAAGCTGGAAAGGTTGACATTTCCTTAGCCATATTGTATGTGTTAGCTGCAGCGCTGCTGCTGTTTTTGTTGATATCGCCGTTGTTGCACTAGTGCGGAACATCAACAAAGATGACACCGGCTGCCGCGATCGTTCGGTGCCTTAGATGCTGTCTTCTATTGGCAATGTTTTGTGCCTTCACATGGACCTTCAATCTGGAGCAAAGGCAGCCGCTTATCAAATACGGCCATCCACATTCATATTTTGGCTACTCGCTGGCCACGCACACAATCGGCGAAATCAAATCGTCCAACAAGACAAAATGGTAAGCCAAAATACGAAATCGATTCGCCTAGATCAAACCACTAACGTTATGCGCGAATTATCATTTGTACGTTAAGACTGTTTGAATCTCACGCTCTCTTCCTCTCAAGAGTACAGAAAGAGCGTATTATTTTGAATTGAGAAATGAATGCAATTGTTTTTTGTTTACCTTCATTGACTGACTTTGTTGTGGTTAACGCGCGAAACTTGTTTACAAATTTAGTTAATCGTCATACTGGTTGTTCGATTACTATATAATACAATAAAAATGAATATTGATTATTTATAAAGATGATGCTATATGCAAAATACGCACATATTGACACATCTCCCGCGTGTAGGCTCTGATCTAGCATGTGTTTTCCATTAGCATTTTGATGCCCCTTTAGTTGAGATCGTTTAGCAAATTGAATACATCTGCAAAAAAATGATGCAAATAACTAGAGAAAGTTATCAAAAATAAATGTGATCAATTGATCAACGTTCGGGCCTCAAGTGGTTTTTATTTTAGATTTTATACATATACATATTTATATAAACATATGCATAAAAACTTCAAGAACAAAGCATTGAATTGATACAAAATTTAAAGCTCGCAAAGAAAAATCGCACAGAAGTAGAAAGCCTTTCATCTGTAGTCTTTTCGAAAAACCCTTTCTACTGTTCATTTGCTGTAGCTTTTTGTTCTTGACTGTGATCCAAAGTGCTTCTATGCCGGTAGATAGATCTTAAATTTTAGACTCTGCTCTCTTCAGAAATCGCCTCTCATTGTTGATAGCCTTATAGTAAGGCTGGAGCCACTAAATTCTTATAGATCCGGACAATTTAATTGGTCCATTCGAGTCAATTTCGCCAACGGCAACATAAGTAGGTTTAGCCCCATCCACACATATATATATGTATATCTCATGTATATTTATATCTAATATCAAAAATATAGAATATTTTTGATATGATACACATGATATATAGAACATATATTCTTCTTCTTCTCATTTCGCTTGACTTTTCTTGCCATGGAAGCTTCAGAGCTTTTCAGCAGTTACGAATTCGGGATATTCGAGATAATGCAGATGGTTATAAAATATGTATGCTCTTATTACTGTTCATTTTTCGCGGGAAAAGTTTTATTTAACGGCTTATCTTTATCTTTACAAGGAAAATATTTGGTTATTCATTATCTCTCTGTCTATGTGTGTGTCTGTGTGAATGTATTTAGGCCCATCGCCTTTTCAGATAATACTGTATGCATTTTGTTCATATTTGCGTTGTCGGATATTTTCAACAATATGTTTCCTTGTTTGACATTAATTCTCTTATATAAGTTTAATTTTTTTTATTATATTTAATAAAAGTTTATTTTGATTTTACCTTGTATCCCATAAAGCGGGTGTATTGGCACAGAGAAAGAGAAAGATAGTAGAGAAAACTTGATTAAAGTTATTTTAGGGTATCTTCTAGTCGTGCACTTCTCTTTGTAGATATGTTTCTATTTCCTCTGTATTTTGCATGTTTTATGCATAATATTTTAAAAAACTCTCTTTAGGCTGTGTATGTATATTAACTTGATAACTCGAATATATATAAATTACTTATGCATTTCATATATATTTATGTATTTATCGAGGGTCACAGGAAGAGTCTGATACCTTCATGTGATTGCAGCTGTGCAAATATACGATATAACAACACATATATGTATATATTTATATATATACATGTGATATTGACCTATATATTCAATGTGATTTTCAGTTATTTTGTTCATCGTTTTCTTGATTCATTTGCATTAAACGGATATTGAACAATTTGATTGACTTGAGTATATCGCGTATGGACATCTTCAATATGGATTATCAAGTGGTTAATCAACATGTTAAAGCTAATGTTAATCATGATTGTAAGCTGCCCATATCTGCACTAGAAATGGCAACAGCCACAACTAACCGAATAACTGTGACAACAGTTTGTGGCAACAGCAATTGGCTATCTGTCTGTAGGTCCCTGCCTCTGGCTATGCCTCTGCCATCATGCAACCCTCGTGCGCAATACTCAAGCCAAAGTCGGCAGACAAGTCGGAGCCAACCGCAATGCCAATAAAATGACAAAACATCCAAGACATCAGAAACATGTCTCCATCCATTGGCCATAGAACAACGAACCTCTGATACACTAACAAGACAACAAAAGATTTCGAAATTCTAATTCGAATTTTCAGTTCCGTCCTATGCCATCTTCGTAAACTTTGCACTGACTGTGCTGATTTCCTGGACTTCACAAGCATTTATCAATCAGGAAATATCTTCATCTTTCTCTATTTCCGGACTCCTTGGGCAACAGTTTGTGAACTGAAATAAATTGTCATCTAAATAATTTTTTGTTTGTCGTCTGCGCTTGATGTCATATGCGCAAACGTTGCACTGGCTGCTCTGAATTGTTGCTTTTCTTGAGCCAATTTTACTTATGCAAATATTAGCTATTCCTTTCTTCACCTGACTAAAATGCATATTTGTTAAATCCTTAACGTTCTACTGACTGCATATGCCATATCTGCCATAGCTAGGCAAGATCTATCAGCCCACTAATAGGCTCCATTGCATGTGAGAGCAATTGAAAATGGGAAATCAATGCAAAAGCATGGCAGGGGCTTGGGTGCGGTGCTGGCTGAAGACAATCTAAGACGGCCAAGACTGCCAAGCTAGCCAACAAGTCTTATGGCTTAGAGAGCCATAAAAGAATGTATTACAAGAGCAATGAATCCACGTATTTCAGTTGTTATTGTTGCTGTTATTGTCGCCATTCAGTCTGGGGAAGTAAGTTGACCGCTTTTGGGGCAAGCTGTGGCAAGGCTTAAGGTGGAGCGAGAGCCTTAAAGAGTCGACCTATTTTTATATTTACATAATCGCAATGAGCTTTGATATTCTAGAGGAAATCATTGTGATAGCAACATTGAGTCAAATGATCTTATATTTATACTTTGAGTATTCCGAAAACTTTTCCAAACCTTTCGATCGGAATGTCGAGCAAACTGAAAAGAAAAGACGAAAAGCCGAAACCTTTCTCTTGACACACTTTGAAATTGGCAAAAGCATTTAGCACTCGTTGTTGTTGTTGTTGGGATCTTAAAGTGTCTATAAGCAAATATCTGGGCAATTTATTTGTGGTGGCTCAACACATGTTCCATCTGGCTGCTGGTCGTGCATTTATGATTAGGCAGAGGTGTTGGCTGCTTGGCAGACCCGGTCGCTGTCTGATTGCATTTGTCATGCGACTCACACAGCAGCGACAACAAAAACTAAAATGCCATAAAGCCGCAATGTGACAGCTTTTGGCCATGATCAAGGCTAAGCTCATAAAAAAAGAAACAGGCTTCAACAGCTAACTGAAGCAAGTCGAAGAGCCAATGCTCTAATTAACTGCGCCTACTGCAAGTCTTCCATATGCATCCTACACATAGGCTAGGATAGAGAGAGTAAATATGGTAGACGATCCATTCAACCATGATCTGCCAGCGACCTCAATGAAACTGAGATATATTTCTGATATTTAGCTTGGTTTTTACGTTTCTTTAAGCCAAAAGTCATGAACAAGGAAAACTATCTGCCTTGGGTCTTCCATACTGTTGGCATACCCTTTTGGGAAGTGTATCTCGAGAATATGCATATGAAAGGCAAAATCCCCAAAAGTAAAATTAAAAACGAAACCTCACAAATTACTGGCGGCTCTCAAAAAGCAACCGCCGGCAATCAAAAAGCCATTCACACGTTCATTCAAAAGTCAAAGTTCCGACGAAATTCGGTGCTCGAGTGTAACTCCAAAAACTGTCTGCCCGTTGCCCGACGCAGTCGCAGTTCCAATTCCAGTTCCAGTTCCTTTTCCATGTGCAATGTGTGCATTTAGCTCTTTGATATGCTGACAAACGGATGTCAGGTACGTCATGTTTTTGTCCGTCTCGATTGTCAGTCCGTCTGTCCGTCTGTCCATCAGTCAGTCAATCAGTCCGTCCATTGTCCACTTGAACGTGCGCTTCACGCGATCTGTGCGGTCGAGCTTAGACTGGACCCAGCCAACATTAGTTTCCCTCAATTGCAATGGTCACGCGTGCGCACCGTGTAAAAGACTTCAAGTTTTTTATTCAATTGGTTTTCGAGAGCTTTTGTGCGCAGGCCCACCAATGTGAATCAAGGTGGGATGTCTGCAGACTTTTTGAGTTGTCTTTATCAGCAGCTTGCGTAAGATCGTAAATCTGATAACTGAAAAAGGCTCTATGGATGGCGACCCTTTAAGAGAGCTTCCTTCTTTGCAGGATCAGCAAGTTGATGATCATTGGAAATGCTATTTAATCTTATATTAAAAGCTTTAGTCCGGATTTGATTTGGCTAAGAACTTAGGGAAAACACTAATGCGCAAATCAACCAAATAATTCTTGACATCTTCAAAATCACTTAAGATTTAGTTCGTAGTGAACGAAGTGGTCTACATGATTCACTCATGTGTCAGGGCTGAAAAGTGCGAAAGTGAGAAATACGTGAAATACGTGATTCTTAGTTATATTTGTAAAAGCTGTAAAGTTGTAAAAAGCAAAAACTCTATTTGGCATTTATTGCACTTTAAGTGAGTCTTTTTTAAGCGGAACATTTCGATTGCTTTTCTTCCGCCCCGAAATGCTGATAAGGGGGCGAGGTCAAGCCCTCCGAAGAGGGTCCATTGCATGTGTTAGACGATTACGTTTCTTATTTTGTTGTTGCTTTGAGTTGTGTGTCGCCAATTTGCTTTGTTAATGAGCTGAATGTTGCGCGCATTGCAAATAAACAAATGCAAATTGCGTTCAGGTATTGCCCACAGTTCTTCGGCATCTACGTATACCCCGTTAAGGGGCCTGGAGGAGGGCTTGCTGTACTTTGGACTTGTATCAAGTCGTTTGCTTATACAAAGCGCATTTTTCAAAATCGATAAATATCGATCTTAAGATTTTTAATCGAACTTAAAAGACTGCAAAAG